TTGTATCCGCTGGCCTTGCAGATGAGCCGACCGTCATGTTGTGTGTTGATAAGCAGAGGAAAAGTGGCTATTTCTCCAGTCAGAGAGCTGTGCTCCCCGATCATCTTCCCCGGGTTTGACTCGACATAGAGCTCGTATAGGAGGACAGGCAACGAGGAATTTTGCAGTAGAATCTCAGGAATCTCGCAGTAGAAATCCTCAGTCGAACCGTTTAATGCAACGGACGGACCCATCAGAACCGGTTCATCAAGTTTGTGCAGAGCTCCTGAAACAGAGGAAAAGAGTCGAGAACACACACACACACACACCAAACAAATATGCTCTTCCTCAGTTTCTGTCTTGTTTTCCAGTACAAAATATCTAAACTTTCTTAAATCAAGATACATTTACAGGAGAAGAAACAAAATGACTGAAGATAACACGTGCTTTTTCTGAAAAATATATAAAAAATTATGCTTAAAAAAAGAAAAAAGAAAACATTCGCCAATGGGGTAATACATATAATAATTTTGGGGGAAAAAAGGACCACTGTCAGATATTTTTCTTGTTTTAATAAGTCACATTATTTTTAGACAGTTTTCCAAAAACACAACTTAATCACATAAGTAATTTTGCTTCTCGGGTAAATATGTGTGATTTAAGAATGCAAAGGAAAATGAGACAAACAGTGCAGTGCATCTTATTTAAAACTCTTAAAAATATCAGAATGTCATTGCATTTGACGACACATTTGTTGGGTTTGAAATGATAATTCTGAAGAAGAAGACATTCAGTGTTGTTTTTGTTTGTAGTGGATCATAATTCAGGCAATAATGCAATTAAGTTCACAATTAACTTAGTGAGCAAACACATTTAAATTGATGCATTTTGCAGATGCTTTCATCCAAAGCAACTTGAATCGCATTCAATATTACAGTCAACATTGTCAAAATTTCGATTTTTCAGTTCATGCATTTATTGGGAACCTAAACACGTGATCTTGGCACTTTTTGGGGGTATTAAACACACACACTTAACCATAATATAATCCAATTGGTAGGAAAAGAAAGCCACGTACCCGTCCTTGGATACAAGACAGAAATACCTGCTGGAAAAATATACATACATAAATGAAAAGACAAACACCACATGAAAACATCCATCAGATATGAACAAGTTTCCTCCACCTATGAGAATCAGTGAAACATGCATTGACTCCATCCTCGCTGAATATCCAAACACCAGAATGATCTTTATATTAATGCAGCATGTGAACACACAAACACACACTGAAGAACATGTCTCACTTCAACAGAGCTGATGGGATCCACCCTAAACACTCCATGTTTCGAGCACAGATAGGGCCGATGCCAATGCAAACCACACAACAACGAGGGAAGATTGTGGAGAACACATTGCATGAACATCTGAGATAAACTATGTACTGCCCATATATTGTTAGTTATTGCAATAATACAGCAAAATTATAAACCGTTCATCATGTCATGGGTTATTCCCAGTGACACACATTCTGTTTAATTTAGTTTTAATAGGGCTCTTTCCATCTGAATGCACCAACAAAGTTAATGGTGAAGAAACCAAACAAGGACGATTTGAAAGTTTAGTGACCTCGAGTAAGTACCAACAGCACAACCTACTGGTGTAAAGTTGTAAATTAAAGTTAAAACCGATCATAAACTTACATTTATAGACCTCCTCTCATTTGCGATTTGTTAATTTTGAAACCAAATATTTGACGCTCTTGACATTTTGGCGGTTTTCCCGTAACTGCCTCAAACACGTGACGTGAACCCTTGACGAATAATAATAATAGCACGGAATAAACATGAATAACCTCAGAACTTCAGAAGAAGGTATGTTGAATTTTTAAGATACAGAAAGGAACCATCTCATCTAATCGTTCAGCCAGTGTTTTAAACGCTAAAAAGACGTCAAAAAAAAAAAAAAAAAAAAAAAACAGCTTGAAAACGACGTCGTCACATTTACCTCAGAAAAGTCATTAATTGATGTTTCATGATATTTCGTTTAAATGCGTACATTTTTACAACGATCTGGTGTAAAACATATATATTACTAAATATAAAACTGTTATGTGCAATACACTTGTTATCATCATCACCTAACATATCTAACTGATAAGATTCCCTGTTTTCTGTAAGAAAAATCTGCATACTGTACCTGATCTGCAAATGGATCAAATTGAGATCATAATACACCGAGTTCAAGAGCTTGTGAATCGCTTGAATCTTGAATTCTGTGTTAAAACCAAGCCCTTGTTTAAAAAAGTCCTTCAGATTTTTATTTATTTATTTATCTTATCTATCTCTTTATTGTATTAATTAAAGCAAGATCAATTGCAACATTTGGTAAATTAAACATTTACTTGGTATATAAAAGCCTTACAATCTTAAAGATACGGCACATTTACAACAAAAAGTTTAGCTCCAACCATAATTAAATACATCTGAACCAGCGAATCAAGGTCTGCAGGATCACTATAGTGTGTTTGGAGCAGGTCTTGTCTGGTCTGGTTTAGTCCGCAAAATTCACGATGAATGTTTTCATTTCCACAGTTTGAGGTTTAAATGAAACTTCAGCTGGAAAGTTCATTCTGCTGAGAAGAACAGAAGAGAGATTAGATTCGTTCTTTACACGGCATCACATCCAAATGAAGCTTTTGAGAGACTAAAACTCACGGCATCGCATCAGACTGGATCTCATCTGAAGGAGAAAGGAGAAAGAAAAGCAAGTTAAAGACCTTGTGCCAAAAACACACGAAGAAACGTGTGGACTGAACTTACGTTTAATGCCATGTTTGCAGGAGTTGTTTCTGCGCTTGGTGCTCCAGAACAGAAAACATGAGGCTCCTACGATCACCATTGATAGGAAACCACAGAAAACTAACGCAATGACCTCCATGGGCGTCGCTGACAAATCTGTGCAAGAACATACGAAACCATCATCAAATTTCTTTAAAGTCACCATGAAATCAAAATGGACATTTTTTTTAACGTAAAATTGCAGTGATTATTCTTCGAGTACGTTTACACGACAACACTATGCTTAAAACAGAGAAGTTTTCAGCATACAGACGACACCATTGTCTAAACGATCATGGGTTAGTGTTAGGGTTTAACTGTTCATTTACACCAAAAAAACGCTGTTGTATAGTAAATGAACAGTCAAAATCCATAAAATGTTTTAATTGAAAGCGGTGTCGCGTAAACAGCCCCTAAATGATTCGTCGGTGCACATCATCATTATTGTGTTAATAATGTTGAATCAGAATCAGTTCCTCTTGCAGCATCTCTTCTCTTCTCTGATGATGAGGGCGGGGCTATAACCTGTCACTCACCCAGCCAATCAACTCCCCACAGACACAATCAAGCCCCGCCCACGTTTGTTCTTGTTCCAGCAGCGTTTCACTCGACATACAACACTTTAGTGAAGAATCTGGAATTGATTTGATGGTTGGATGGTTGTGGTTTGGCCCAATTTAAACACTTCTGGAACAAGAACACATGTGGGCGGAGCCTGATTGTGTCTGTTGGGAGCTGATTGGCTGGTTGTGGTTTGCTATTGTCTGATCTAATGTGAGTGACAGGTCATAGCCCCGCCCTCGTCATCAGAGAAGTGAAGAGATGCTGCAAAGTTATTTTTAAGTTATTCTGATAAATCATTTACAATACTGCAATATTCCATAAAAGCAAGAATTAGCGACTTTAAAGTCTTCCTTGATAAACACACGCTTACCTGTCTTCTGTATGAAGACGTCCTCACTCTCCACCCAGATCGAGCTGTCGTTGAAGCTGTCCCTCGCCCTGCAGCGGTAATTACCAGAGCTGATGTCCGTGAGGAATAAGATCTGCCCGTTCTGCATCTCCATGTGAGCGTTGCCCCCTGGTGGAAGGGAGGAATGGTTCAGAGACCAGGAGAACGCGGGAAACGTTCCTCTATCGGGGAAGCATGTGAGCCGAGCCGCTGTCACCACTGCATCGACATCATAGAGGTATTTTACCATCACTCGCACAGCACCACCTACTGGAACTAACAAAAACAGGTTGAGAAACACGTTTGTAGGAAGAATAAGTCACTGTTTTTGTGCCATCAAATGCCACCAAGTGTCATTTATTCCTGTCATCAAAGCTGAATTTATGAATGAAGGTAACTTGACTTGAGATTACCGCTGCCTTATTACATTAACTCAAACGAGACGCACTTACCCACGTGTAAATGCACAGGATCAGACAGAAGCTGCTGTGTTTCTGCCTGAGCTTTACATTGAGCCAGGCCCATATCCAGACCGAGAGAGACGGGCCGAACGGACCAGAACTCCAGCGAATCCACACGTTTCACATCCACTTCCTGTCCGTTCACCAGTAAGCTGAATGTCACAGGCGGAGACCCACGTGCCAAACGGCAGCTAACGTTGGCCATCAGGCTCGAGCCATTCAAGAAGACCACAAATGACAACTTGAGCGTCGAGATGTTCTCTGAAAATCATAAAACATGAAACCGGTTCTGAAATAGGATGTTTTTTTTTGTTTTTTTTTTAGAGAAACAGCATATTGAACAACAAAAAAATCTGCAAAAAATGCTCTTGAAACAAACAAATGCACATAAATCTGGCTAAAATCAAGCAAAATAATCTGCCAATGGGTTATACAAAACTGACTTGATAGCAATTCATGAAAAAAAATGTAGTCACTAATAAATGCTACTGGATCTTAGACAAAAATGCAGTTTTCACTTTTTATAGGAACTAAATAATCAGTAATTTTAGTAAAGATTGCATAAAAATGTGAATATTTAACCTTAAATTCATTTTCATAACCTGAAAATTCTTAAAACAACCCAATAAATTAATAATTTTAGTACATTTTACTTAGATTTAAGTGCATCTTGCTTGTTTCAAGAAGGGATTTTTTTTTGCAGTGTAAATAAAAAAAAAAAATCATATTTTACCTCTTAATTTAGATTCTTGAAATTAGAATTTTTAGGGGGGTATTATTATTAAATTAGCTCAACAATCTAACTAAACATGCACAAAAACTTGCACTTTATAGCGGTCACTTGTTTCTGGTAAAATCTACCTCAAATTGAGTTAAAATTCACTTGCTAAGACTGAAGAAATTTCTTAAATAAAGATTTAATTTTTATTAAGAAAATTTTTATTTTTATTTTATAAAGATTATAATTTTTTATAAATATAATAACAGATAAATAAATAAATAAATAAATGCATATTTTATGACTTTTTGTTAACACTTGTACAATAACATTCGTTAAACCCCTGGTCAGAGCCTGACTCCACCCACTGGCAATATTTGAAAAATGCTGGAAAAGTGGGCGGAGCCCAGCGGAGGGGGGCGTGCACCTGAGACGCATCTCTTTGTATGAAACTTGCCTACGTCACCAACAACCGCTGTGTCACGTACCACCGCAAACATCCTGAAGAGGGCAGCACTAAGATGTTTTTACACCATATATTGTAGAAATAGAACATTTTATAAACAAATGCCAAAAAAGTTACTCGAATCAATGACTGGTATTAATAAAGATCCATTCTTACAGATCATTAACTAAAAAAAGTTGGTTAAGCGTTTAGTTAACATGAACTTCACGTATACAGCATTTATTCATCTTAGTTAATGTTAATTACAACATTTACTAATACTTTATTTAAATCTTGTTTACATTAGTTAATGCACTGTGAACTAACATGAACAGCTGTATTTTTATTAACTAACATTAAAGTCCTCATGAAATCAAAATTGACCATACTTACTTTGTTTGCCTAAATTGCTCGTTTTGTGGTGAACAATTCATACATGCAAGTCAGAATGAAACACCCATTTTTCTAGATCCAATCAGGTGCTAGTTGGAAAAAAAGCCACGCCCACTATTTTGCCTCATTTAGTATTCCGTTTCTCTCGGAAATACGTCACAACACTGGAGAAAAGTGGTTTGCAACTTCCGGTTCACGGGGACTTTAACAGAGATTAACAAATGTATTGCTCAGGTAGTTCATGTTAGTTAATACATTAACTAATGAAACATATTGTAAAGTGTTACCGACTTTTAATCTTTCCTGGCAAAAAAAAACAAGACGAAGATTTTTTACTTGCTTAGATTTCAGTTTTTGGAGTGTGATTACTGTCAAATTAGTTACGTTTCACGGTGACACGGAGGTTTTGGCTGCTGGAGAATCTCGGGTTGACCTCCATTATGTTTTGAGCTGTGCACGAGTATGTCCCAGCATGCCGTTCACTCGCGGCGTCCACCGTGAGAGCGTCTCCTGAGAGCCGATAGTGTTGTGACGAGGCGTTGACCTCTTGCTGGTCATGATCCCATGTGAAGGACAGATGCGTCCCCTTCCTGACGAGACAGCGCAGGTGAACGTCTGTCCTTCATACAGGACCGGGGGATCCGGATCTGAGCTCAGACGGGCCCCGAGGACTGGAGCTGTCGAGGAGGAACACAATTGAAATGTTGCCTTAAAATAGATAGATTAAAAAAATATGCAAAAAATAAATTAAACTGAAATTGTAATATGTATATATATATATATATATTATTTTTTTTAAATACAAAAGCACAAAACAAAATTGCTAAAAATTAAACAAAAAAAACTTAACTGGAAATAAAAAAGTACTTAAACTGAAATAAAAGTAAATGAAACCTAAATAGTGTTTTGTGTGTGTGTGTGTGTGTGTGTGTGTGTGTGTGTTTTACAAAAACAAAATAAAATTGCAAATTGGAAACAAATAACTGGAAATAAATAGAAAAACGTTAGTAAATAGTGAATATTTATAACAAAATAAAAAAACCCCAACAAAATAGCTAAATATTTAACAAATTAAAATGATGAAACTGGAAATAAATAAAAATGTAAACTAAATTAAAAAATAAATTAAGCCTAAATAGTAATATTTAAACAGAAGCGCTTAATAAAATAATATATAAATATCAGATAAAACTTTGATTAAACAAAAATTTTAAATGTTGCCCTAAAATAAAAAAAAAGAAACTAATGGTAATATAAAAAAAATACAAAGCCATCAAAATAACAAAATATTTAACTAAAATATCAAATATAAATATTAGATTGAAAAACAAACTTAACTAAAATTAGAAGCGTTGGCTTGAAGTTGAAGCATAACAATGACTGCAAATAAATTAAAACTACATAAATTAAGTACACAAAAAGTTGAAACAAATAAAAATAAATTAAACCTAAATAGGAATAAAAATACTCACATTAAAAACCAAAAACTAAACCTTTTTAGACATGTTATGAAAATAATAACAATTAATGACTAAAACTAATAAAAATGAATATAAAATAGCACATTTGAGTTTCTGTCTTGATACAGATGTGGCTTTGGTGATCTTGAACCACAATGATGTTCTGGTGTCACTCACTCACGACATGGAGACGGATGCTGTTGCTGGTTTGACCTCCAGTGACCCCGCAGTAGTACTTGCCCTCTGACCCCTCAGTGACCTGCAGCTGGAAGGTGACCTTGATGTTGTTTTCTGCACTAATAAGATCCCCTGTGTCCTTTCTGAGTTCGAAGGTCAGAGGTGAAGCCCAGCCTGGGACCTCGCAGTGAAACTGGACCTGAGATCTCAGATAAGCTTTACTGGGACCAGTCAGAACCGGTTTCAGCCTCGACCCGCCTGTCAGACCACAAACACCTCAAAATAACACGTTACAGTAAGGTCACATTAGTTATTAGTCATGTTAGTTCGTTTGTTATTGTGACTCTGGATCACAAAACCAGTCCCGAGTCGCACGGGTGTAATTGTTGTTAATCATCCGTGACGGCGACACGTGGCGACTCTGTTTTAGAAACGGTTCCTATTTTTCTGCGACGTCGCGCTGGAACAACAAACACAAAGTGTGGCGATGATAATCTCAGACACTGTTTATGTGCGTTATTTAATGTTAAAAGCGTGTCACGTGACTCTGAATATCAGCTAGAGCTCCAGCTTCGCACCTCAGATCTTGAAATTAAACAAATGGAAACAAAAACTGGGAACAAACAAGTGTAATATTTGACAAAGACTGGTTTAGTAACTTTAACAATGTTTAAATGGTGTAATATTTGTGAATTTGATTATGCACTTATCCATGATCTTGAGGGTGTGACTCTATGCACGAGACTCCGCCCACTTCCCACAAGACTCCACCCACACGCTGCATTGATTGGCTGTGGGATTTGATTGATTGTGCCGCGTCTCGCAGTCGCGTCACGTGTGTTGTTTATTTGTCGCTGGAATCGTTTGGTTAGGACAGTGTCAGACTGATCGATATTTCATTAATCATTAGGATATTAAGTAAAGATCATGTTCCAGGACGATATTATGTAAATTTCCTACCGTAAATATATAAAACATGTATTTTTGTGAGTGAATGCAGCACAGATTTCTCAGTGTTTCGATTATTTTGCATCTTCAGATCACAGATTTTCAATAGTGATATTTCGGCCAAATATTGTCCTATCAAACCATATATATATATATATATCAATGGAAAGCTTATTTATTCAGCTTTCAGATTATGTCTAAATATCAATTTAAGCAAATGTACCCATGTGACTGGTTTTGTGGGTCACTAATTAGCAGTGATCAACACACTGGTTACAGCATTTGTTAAAGTTAGTTAATAACAATACAACTGTTCGTGTTCACGTCACTCAGATCCATTAAACATTAACAGAGACAACTTTTGATTTTAATAATGTATAAATGCTGAAATTACCATATAATAGACAAGATTAATACATGATTTAGAAGTGTTATGTTAATATGGTTAATTGTAAGTTATTTCAACTGCTTACGATGAGCATAAATGTGTTAATCGTGGAAACAATTCAATTTATTCTGGACACATGTAGATTGCAGAGGTTTATAGATGTATAATAAACCTGGTTGTTGTTCATTTAAAACATTTAGTTTATTAGTAATAATACATGAAATTCATCTATAAGACTGATAAAAATGCAGTTTAACTGTTTGTGTTAAAATGTGTAGTTCAGTTGAATGTAAATTTGATCTGCAGATTTTATAATAATGAAAAGAAGTACCGATTTCTGTCACAAATCCCAACAAAACTGAAACACAAAAGAGGAATCCAGTAAATCAGCAGCGAGAGACTCTCACAGAGAACCTCACTAATAAACAAAGTACTTCATTAATGGGTTTCTGTCGAATAATGTCAGTAACTCACCGTAGATAAACATGAGGAAACGCTGCATCCTTCAGTCTGCTGATATCAAGACTTGAGTGTGTGTGTGTGTGTGTGTGTGTGTGTGTGCATGTAAAAGCATATGCATGTGGACTCTGTAAAAGCGCGTGTGTGTAAAAGCATATGTATGTGTGTGTGTGAAAGCGTGTGTGTGGACTGTATAAAAGCATGTGCTTGGTGTGTGGACTCTGTGTTACTGCGTGTGTGTGAGAGATATTTCTTCATCATGTGTTCATCAGAGATAACAAGCGTCATCTCATCACTGAAGCTCCACATTATGAGACACTTTTACAGAATCAGACACCAGGGTTTTTATCGAGAACTAAAACTAAATACTAAATATAAAAACTTACTATAAGCTATTTAGACATATATAAAATCCACAAACACTAAATTCTGGCATAAATGCGACGTGGGATCTCAATATCTCAGCTCTGGAAGGGTCTAGAACCTCCATTTTGGCACTCAGGTCTAAGGCCGTGTGTCCACCAAAGCGTTTTTCCACGCGCCTGGCGTCTGTTTTCATTTGTTTTCAATGGGAGCGCCGTTTTTTTTAAACGCCATGAACGTACCGAGGCGCTGAGCGGTTTTTTTTCTCGCTGAAGTGCCGAGCGCCCGGCGTTTTTACTGGTCGCTGGGAGTTGAATAATGTTCGCAGCGCTCATCACACACTGTCACATTTTACCCAGCCATCCAATCACAGTGGAGGAGGGGCGGGACTAATACCACACCGACCAACTGTCACAACATTCAAACTGCTGCGGATATTCTGTATCATAGCAACGAAACGTCTCAACGGAAAAAATGCTGCGCTGACAAGACGCTCTCAAGCGCCCAAAGCACGGCGTCGTCAGACTCAGCAGAGCGTCTAGCGTTTTCAGCTGGATAAAAACGCTTTGGTGGACACATGGTCTCCAGAGTTTCAAGAAGATCAGAGCAACTCAAAATTTCGACCCGAAAAAACCGACAGTGGTACCCCTTTCGTTTTTTTTTTTTTTTTTTTTTTGGTGCGAAAAAACAAGTTTCTCCAATCTTCTTGAAACTCTGGATTCTGATAGAGGGCCATGAGACTTAAACCTGAGTGCAAAAATGGAGGCTCTAGACCCTTCCAGAGCTGAGATATTGAGATCACACGTAGCATTTACACCATTATTAAAATAGTGGGTTCGTGGACGGTGGAATTATGGGATGGCGCTTGGTACTCAGGGCTCATAAATGGTTTTCATCATGACAGGAAACTTTAATTAAAATGTCCATCAAATACACTACCCAAATCCCCATTCAACAGATTGCCGGCGGGATTCTGTGCATTTGCAGTTTATTGCATGAACGCTGGGATTAGTACATTTAAAAATAGTGAGTTATTGGACACATAGTGGGTTCGTGGATGGTGGAATTTCGGGACGGCGCGTGGTGCCACAGACACCGAACAACACCGAACTAACCTTTTAAACCGACCGACCCATACCACACACACCTGTCCCTATACGCCTTATCAATGTTGGGTAAGTTACTCAAAAAAAGTAATTAATTACTAGTTACTAATTACCTCTTCAACTGTGTAATTAGATTACTGTACTAATTACTCTCTCTAAAAAGTATTTAATTATTTTTAATTACTAATTACTTTCAAAATCCCATGTCAATCTCAACCAGCTGAATAATACAAGGATAGACATGATGAATCTGTTTTAATTCTTTCAAATAAACACTATAAAATTGCACGAATTATCCTTAAACTGACCAAGGTGGAGAAGGTTACATTATAAAAACATACTTTAACATCAGACAATACATTTTGATCTTAAACCCACTATTGTTTTATGTCTGATCTCATGACATTTCACACTTTTTTTCATACATATTTTACAATAATTCATACGAAGTTGTACTAATGCGGTCGTAATATTTAGACACCTCATAAAATGCAAACGAATCGCTTTTCGATTGATCGGATTGATCCATACACAGTATTTATTTACCTCAATTACATCAGAAGTAACTGTAATTAAATTACTGATGAATTCAGAGTAATCCCTTACTTTACATTTTCAAGGGAAAAGTAATTAAATTACAGTAACTAATTACTTAGTAATTAGTTACACCCAACACTGCGCCTTATTCACGGCAGCGCCATCTTTGATTTTTAGTGAGAATGAAAGCGAGGCTGTGAGGGATAGACTTGCATCTGTTCAATGGGCCGTACTGTTATTTAATGTGTTTTCGGATTGTTCTGCTCATGAAACACTGGAAAAATATCTTTCAGTTGACAAAAAACTCCTGATCTGTAAGCTGTGGAAAATCGTAAGTAATCTAGGGGCTTTATTCAGCTTTTTACAGCGGATGCCTATCCCTCACAGCCTCACTTTCATACCTGTCACGGCGCCGCTCTGAATAAGGAGGTCCTTACCCGTGTGTGCGATTCTGCTCGATAGCAGCAAAAGTGTTTTACACTACAATAACAATTAAGTAGATTGTATTTTTCCATTTAAGTAGTACTTAAAACCACTTAATATAAAGTGGGACCTGTGTTATCATTATAATCCCCTATAAAAAAATACATCTAAAAAATAATAATTGGGATGTACAATGGTTGTGGTTCCTCTCAAAGAAATGCAACTAAAGACATTATTTGATTATTCAAAGTTGAAGGAAGGAACATCCCTGAACTTTAGAACTGGATTATCGTCGTCATTATCTATGAAAAAGAAACTGCAGAAAGCTGACGAGTCACTGTCAGACGCTGAGTGCGTCTGTGTGTGTGTGTGTGTGTGTGGGTGGGTCTAGCCTACTCATGACGTTTAGGAACTTACAAATCTGGTTTCACATGTGAGGGTTTCAGACTTTGTATAGCCTAGACGCTGCACACTGGAGAGCTTTATTCTCAGACAACTATCTTCCAGAGAACTGTGTGTGTGTGTGTGTGTGTGTGTGTGTGAGCAGAAGGACCTGTTGTGGAGGATGAAGCTGCTCTATGGACTGATCCTGGCGATGGCTGTCCTGGTTTTGGCTGAAGGACACGGCGTTGAATCTGGATGTCAGATCTGGGATAACAGTAAAGACCACAGTGTCGATAACACAATCGTGTGCTGTACGAAGTGCCTTCCAGGTGAGTTTGGCAAAGGACTTAACTCTGGGATAAAATGATTGATGAAACACTGAATATAACATCTGTTTTGGATCAATATCAACAGAAAAACTACAAAACTAAAAATATAGATCGTGACTTTAACTTTAGGTACAAGTATCAAGATTCAATATATTATAACTAAGTTTATAGTTACATACACATGCTCTTTAGGAGTGTGAGAGATTCCTGTTTCCATAGTAAGGATTAGGATTGTGGGTAGGATGAATTTTGATTTTTTTTTTTTTAATTATCTAGATTGTTATTATTATTATTTAGGTCTGCAAAAACCTCGGGTCAAAAGGGGCCATTGGTTCAGAAAGGTTTGAGAAACAATGCTTTATGCTTATAGTTCGTTTTTTTGTGAAGTAAAAGCCTGAAAAAAAGGTTTACACCAGATAGATGCCAGGGTTTTGTCTCGAATGCCATATCAATGGAAATTAAGCATTTTGATAAACATTACCAGCTTTTATTATTCTAATAATATTAATAACAATAAGTTATCAAACAACACCAAAAAATATCAATGGAAATGAAAAACAAATGGGGAAAATAAATCATATATGTAACTCGTTGTTGGAGGCGACACAGGTATACATTTGGGATAGATGAATTTAGAATAAATGACTAAACCCCAAAACTGAAATAACAATATTAACACACAAATATCAAACTGTTCACAGTATTTAGCACAGTATTTTCACTTGAACACTGATGTGTGTTTCAGTTTCCCTTCATGATAAAATGTGATCATGCGATTAAAAGAGCCACACACACACACACACACAGCTGCTTTCATCCTCACGGTGCATTACTTTCCGTTTCATTATTGTGCAGTGTGTGACGTTCACCGGAAGGATGTCATCATGTGTAGAGTGAAGTCCACTGCATTTCGTATTTAATCTATTATAGTCAACAATCCAATTTTGGTGTGTCTGCCTTCATTGCACAAGATCACAAGACACATTTATTTATTTGATTAGTCAAATAAATACTTCTTTGACTAATCAAATTCATTTTACATGTTGGAGAATGTTGGTAAAGTTGACTGCCATAGTATTATTTTAATGGGGACCAGCAACCGTCTTCAAAACATCTTCTTTTGTGTTCAGCGCAAAGAAATAAATTCATACAGGTTTGGAACAACATGAGGGTGAGTAAATGATGACAGCGTTTAGGAAAAAGAGGACGTAGACTGTGTTGAAGGTGTGTAATCCTACTATATGTGTGTGTTTGTTGCAGGAAACCGTCTAAAAACTAAATGCGGCCCAGACCCAAGGTTTCTGTGTACTCCCTGTGAAACTGACAACTTCATCCACATCGAAAACACTGACGCAAACCAACGGAAATGTCTGAGGTGTGATGAGTGTATAGGAGGTACAGCATACAATATTTTTTCCATTTAAACTGATGCTAAAGCCTTCATTGCTGTGTTTTTTTTATTCAAGTGCTCTGAGCATCACTATACAAATGCCAAAATTACCCAGACAGCAACATAGTGTTGGCCCAGATCCGGTACATGTTGATTTCACAACTGGAACATTACGATGCTGTCTGGGTCGCTGACGACAGGGTTGGCGGGTCTGTGCAATAAAACAATGGCCAGTAAAAATAATAATAATTCGTAAAAACTATCCCAAGCCTGAACAATACCGAACATGCCTTTGGTGTGAGAGACAGAGATACCAATGTGTTGCTCCAGAGGCGTGCGACCTCTGATATATATATATAAATAACTTTGGATAAAAGCGTCAGCTAAATTAATAAATGTAAATATGAAAACCAGGTGGCAGACGGGTGAAAGAGAATTGCACCGCCAGCAGAAACACAATTTGTGGGTGTTTACAAGGATATCGATGTGGAAACGGCAAATGCTCTCACTGCCTGAAGGAGTGTGGGAAGGGAGAGCAACCTGATGGAAAAGGTAAGTCTGGATAAAGACAACTGATCAGTCTCTACGTATCTTATTAACTAATATACATCTGACCGCAATGTCTTTCTGCTACGAATTTAGGCAAGTGTGAGCCGTGTCCTCCACGGATGTACAACGACAAGCTCCATCAACCCTGCGTGAACTGGACCAAGTATGACGCCTTTAGCGTTGTTTCTGATATCGATCTGCCTGTTGAAAACACTTCCGGGCTGATGAAACCACACTTCACAAGCCATTTCAAAACATGTATCTCTCAACCCACAGATGTATGCCTGACCATCAGATAATTGTTCCTGGAAGTTCATCTACAGATGTGATCTGTGGCCCTCAACCACACACCAAAGCGACAGTGTTGCCGTACAGTGATGCAGAGAGAAGTATGAATGACACAGGCAACCTGTGGGCATGATAGTGACCTCACTGATGACCACAGGGAGTTTCTGAACACCCTGAAGTGGTCTTTAGTTCAGATTATGGGAAGCCCTACATTTTTCATGCATTTGACCTTTTATAATTCATATACACACATGCACCCACCCACCCACACCCCCACACACTTTGTACTTGATGTTCAGTTAAATATATAAACAGATTTCATTTAGAAAAGAGCCGATAACTTGATATATGAAGGCTAAAACTCACATTTTCTTTCCATTGGCATCTTTAAGGATCATTTTCAACTCATTGTTGCTCTTTGCTTCAGATGTCACGGTTATTCTCATCATCTTCGGGGTCATAGGCGTGACAATACCTCTCGCTATAATCCTCTTCCTGGAGTGGAGAAGGAGAAAGATCACCCATGAAGAGAGAAAGCAACCAGGTAAACTTCATCTGACGTTGTGTTTACTTCTGCATGTTTAACCCTAAAACCATATTCTGGACAAATGTGGGCAAAATAGTTTTGATTTATTAAAAAAAAAAAAAAATACTTCCCTTGGTCTGAGCGGTACAAGACTTGCCTCCTGAACACACAATTTTTTGACTCAATTCTACAATGTTAAGTGGGTGAAGAAAAAAACTCCTTAAAGTCCCCGTGAAATCAAAATTGAACCTATTTACTTTGTTAGCGCATATTACTAGTCTTGTGGTGAACAATTAATCCGTGCAAGTAAAAATATATTTAAAAAATGTTTTACCTTCGTAATCTTTAATCAAAATCTGAAAAGTTACTTCCGGTCTGGAACGGTTTCTTTTTCTGATGACGTAGGTTTCACAACTTGGGTGGGGAAACGCTTAACCACTCCCCTTAAACCGTTAGTTTGCTATGAGCGAGAGATGGAGAGGAGGAGCGCTAGAGTAAAACCCTGCCCTCTGTTCAATATTCCGTTTCACTTGGAAATACGTCACAGCACTGGAGAAAAATCTTTTGCAACTTCCGGTTCACGGGGACTTTAATCTTGTATTTGGGTCAAAAATGGGCACCCATAGAATTGAATGGGAAAAACTGTCATTTAGAGCATTCTAAAATAAGCCAACATAAGACACCAGGTGACCGCAAAGCAGAGACTATAGAGACATCCCACTTCCTCAATCCTTAATACAAATGTATAGGGAAAACCCGTAACACCAAAGATGGCGGTTGTACGCAAATGCCCCGCCCCTCCCGCTGGACAGCCAATCGTCTGCTTTTAACGGTCAAGCCGGGAAACATTTAAATACGTTACTGTTTGAAAAGCCGGTAGATATGCAGTATATGTGTGCGTTGTGTAAATATCAGACACCCCAAGTCTCCCAGAAGTTCTGGGTGTCTCCCGCAGATTGATAGAGGCTCGCTGATGCCCGCAAATTAGTTCAAATCTCCCGGAATCTAGAGCGAGCGAGCAAGAGCGCGCATTTCAAACTGTGCAGCGCGCGCGCGACAGAGAGCGAGAGAGAACCCTTGCGCATGCGCAGTAAAAGTATAACCTGTGGGAAAACGGCGTTTTAAACCTTATTTTAGTGCAAAGTCATGAAACTTTTTCAGCGATTTTTTATTATATTTTACTGCTGTTTCTATACATGCAGTTTTTATGTCCCGGTGACCAGTGAAAGTGCAGTTCTGAGTCTGACTCTCTGCCCATTCACTTAGATAGGAGCCTGGTCTGTCCGAGGCGTTGCCAAGATGGCGGCCAGTGGCATGACTTGCCTGAAACCGAAAGGACTTTGCCGCAAAGTCACTTCATCTTTAGGTATTAGCTCTAAGAACTTATTTGAATGATATTTTTATGTAGTTAAAAAAATATATATATTTAATTTACATAGAAAATATGGTACTTTTATGAAGTAAATAAATTCCAAAATACCCCCAAAATAAAATAGAACACCATGAATGGATAGACAAAACATTATCAAAGATAGTGATATAACATTTATAATAAATAAAAATTAGGATCACACCTGAGTCCTCTGTGCCCACATTTGTCCACAATTACAGGATTAAGGGCTATAAAGTGACTACGGTTTGAGGGTTCCCGTACCTTCATGCTTTTCTGTGTGCTCTTCCGCAGGAGGACCGACTCCGACGAGTTTTCCTGAAGAGGTCAGCTTCTGTTTTCCTCAGCAGGAACACGGCAGTAACAGTCAGAGCTCCACAGACTCGCTCCTCTCGCAGAGCATCGGGCCTTTAGAGGCATGAAATCAGCATTGTGTATATTGAGGATAATATGTATGTTGTGTTTCGATGTAATGTATAATTTATTTACTTAATTGTATTGTAAATCACAATGCCAGTGACATTTTGGAGCCATTTAAATAGCTGAGGTGTTTGAGATTGTTCTGTGCCGTATTTTCCTATGTTTTAAAGGATTACATGTTGTACTTGTTTACTTAAGGAGAAGGTTTGACCCTAAAGGCTCTTGTACACTGAGTCCGAAATTTCCGCACGTTAAAAAATAAATACGACCTCATGTTGTGTCAATCACACTTGCACACTGCCTCCGAAACTTTCGTCCGTCATAAAAATAATAAAAAAATCGAATCGGGTTCGATTTTCTGCATTTTTCGCATCCATAGCAAGCAGTTTGAATGGTGTTTTGTTCGGACTCAGTGTGTAATGGCCTTAAGTGTCACCCTGAGAGGTACATGAGAATGACTAATTATTATGGTTCATTTTTGTTTAATACCTTATTGTAATTTTGCCAATTTCGGCTGCATCAGGAATCACATACTCCCCTACTGTATAGAAGATGACCTCCTACTTCCATTGAGATTCTGAAGTGTGTGTATGATGGACACTTTACTATCCCATGAGGCCACGGGAGAGGATTTATGATCAGTGAACATAAACGGACATAACTAACATGACAACATGGCAAATGTAGTTTGTTTTTTGTCAGTCAAACCTCTTTGTTGTAAAATATTTTATATATATATATATGTTTTTTATTTTTACATATTTAAATAATTGAACAATGTTCTCTGATGTTTTTATATTATCAGAAATCCTGATCTATAGCATAGTTCCAATAAATTCCCATTCAGGTTTTAAGTTGTATAAAGTTGTATTCAAGGGAAATTTGAGAATTGTTTTATGTTTAATAATAAATCAGCCTGTGCGAAATCATTGTGCTCAGATGACTTTTATTATGAAAACACATGTTAACACAAGAAAAAAAAAAGGAAATCCTCAAATATGAGACCTTTAAACAATAGACGTTCAGTTGCCCTTTAGAGAACAGGGATGATGTCACACACGCTTACAGACCTCTGCACTGAAATACTGTAGGCTGTCAGGATGTGACGCCGTTTGATATTTTAATTCAGCACCATCCGAATTCCCCTGCATAGCATTATTTTAAATCCACTGAAATTTCCAACTGCAAAAACCCTGAATCTTTCTGGTAAAAGACATCACAGGTTATTTTCTGAATCCTGTTTCGCAACACTATTAAACACAGAGCTGCTCTTTTTTTTTTAGAAGTGAAAATGAGGAACACAAATTAAAAAAAAACAAATGTGGACTAAACCCCTTTGAAAATGCTGTGAAATAAAGCTATTGTGAAGCATTAATAAGTCTATATCCCTTTAACACACATAAAATCACAGGTCTCTGGTGTATTATCCTTCACTTAACTCTTGTTTTTTTTCCATTTGACCTGATTTAGTTAACAAAGATGTTATTCCACTGCATGTACATTAAATGACTCATCTAAGCAAATACCTGAAGGTTAAAAAATACAATATATTCAGTCTTCTATCACAGTGTAACCATTCGAGTCTTGTTTACAATGCTGCATTCCATCTAAAATAAGATGTGCAGTATTTACATGTGATATTTCCAGCTTCTGACCATAAAGATGATCTATTGGCCAACACATGGAGACTGTTATCGTAGCAGGTGTTTGATTGTCAACAAAGATATGTCTCTGGAAATCATCACTAAGAGAGCGCTGCCGTGATTTCGTATTTTTGTAGTTTAAACCGTAAATTTGCTTTGACAAAACGCAGTATGAATTATTGCAGAAAAAAAAAAAGTCCAACAATGGTTTGTGATTCTCACGTTTTGCTCATCATGATAATCTTCACAAGTGAACAACTTTATATTATAAACCATGTGACTGGGTAGAAGATGAGTTTACCTGTCTGATCTGATGACATTGAATGTCTCTGATAACCTCTATAGTCCCATTTCACCACACGTTAGCAACTGCTTTTTTCAAGTAAAGTTTTCAAAAATCAAATTAAAGATGTATTTTATGTAGAATAAAACGTGAACGACCTTAACAACAGACCTTGTTTCAGGCCTTAAAAACCCATTGATATATATAGAAGTGGTTCTATATAGAACTTTAAAGTGTTCCGTCAGGCGCTCTATCAGTTCTATATAGAACCTTAAAGTGTTCCGTGAGGCGCTCTATCAGTTCTATATAGAACCTTAAAGTGTTCCGTCAGGCACTCTCAGTTCTATATAGAACCTTAAAGTGTTCCGTCAGGCGCTCTATCAGTTCTATATAGAACCTTAAAGTGTTCCGTCAGGCGCTCTATCAGTTCTATATAGAACCTTAAAGTGTTCCGTCAGGCGCTCTATCAGTTCTATATAGAACCTTAGTGTGTTCCGTCAGGCGCTCTATCAGTTCTATATAGAACCTTAAAGTGTTCCGTGAGGCGCTCTATCAGTTCTATATAGAACCTTAAAGTGTTCCGTCAGGCACTCTATCAGTTCTATATAGAACCTTAGTGTGTTCCATCAGGCGCTCTATCAGTTCTATATAGAACCTTAGTGTGTTCCGTCAGGCGCTCTATCAGTTCTATATAGAACCTTAAAGTGTTCCGTCAGGCGCTCTATCAGTTCTATATAGAACCTTAAAGTGTTCCGTGAGGCGCTCTATCAGTTCTATATAGAACCTTAGTGTGTTCTGTCAGGCGCTCTATCAGTTCTATATAGAACCTTAAAGTGTTCCGTCAGGCGCTCTATCAGTTCTATATAGAACCTTAGTGTGTTCCATCAGGCGCTCTATCAGTTCTATATAGAACCTTAAAGTGTTCCGTGAGGCGCTCTATCAGTTCTATATAGAACCTTAGTGTGTTCCGTCAGGCGCTCTATCAGTTCTATATAGAACCTTAAAGTGTTCCGTGAGGCGCTCTATCAGTTCTATATAGAACCTTAGTGTGTTCCATCAGGCGCTCTATCAGTTCTATATAGAACCTTAGTGTGTTCCGTCAGGCGCTCTATCAGTTCTATATAGAACCTTAACGTGTTCTGTCAGGCGCTCTATCAGTTCTATATAGAACCTTAGTGTGTTCCGTCAGGCACTCTATCAGTTCTATATAGAACCTTAACGTGTTCTGTCAGGCGCTCTATCAGTTCTATATAGAACCTTAAAGTGTTCCGTCAGGCGCTCTATCAGTTCTATATAGAACCTTAGTGTGTTCCGTCAGGCGCTCTATCAGTTCTATATAGAACCTTAAAGTGTTCCGTGAGGCGCTCTATCAGTTCTATATAGAACCTTAGTGTGTTCCATCAGGCGCTCTATCAGTTCTATATAGAACCTTAAAGTGTTCCGTGAGGCGCTCTATCAGTTCTATATAGAACCTTAGTGTGTTCCGTCAGGCGCTCTATCAGTTCTATATAGAACCTTAAAGTGTTCCGTGAGGCGCTCTATCAGTTCTATATAGAACCTTAGTGTGTTCCATCAGGCGCTCTATCAGTTCTATATAGAACCTTAGTGTGTTCCGTCAGGCGCTCTATCAGTTCTATATAGAACCTTAAAGTGTTCCGTGAGGCGCTCTATCAGTTCTATATAGAACCTTAGTGTGTTCCATCAGGCGCTCTATCAGTTCTATATAGAACCTTAGTGTGTTCCGTCAGGCGCTCTATCAGTTCTATATAGAACCTTAGTGTGTTCCGTCAGGCGCTCTCAGTTCTATATAGAACCTTAGTGTGTTCCGTCAGGCGCTCTCAGTTCTATATAGAACCTTAAAGTGTTCCGTGAGGGGCTCTATCAGTTCTATATAGAACCTTAAAGTGTTTCCATCATGGGATCATTTTATGGATTTAGTTTTAATTGATTCATTTCAATAAAATTTTATCAATTAAACAGCTCGTAAATATCCTTTATCACAAGAAAACATGTAAATAACCCATTAAATATTGAAGTATCACGAAATAATTTACCTATATAGAACCTTTCTGGCATAAAGAGATCTTTCAAACTGAGTCAAGAACCATAGGGTTCTATATTGAACTTTTTCTAAGAGTGCATGAATGGAACATTAGAAAATCAACCGTTCTAAACTCAGTTCTAAAATTGATCATAGAAAACTGAGAGTGAGTTAAACATACGTTCACTGTTGTTTACAGTTCTCTTTCTTGTCTCTGGCTTTGTGACGTCCTGCTTTGTCGCTCTGCCGTTTGGTTGGTGGTATGAAGGTGGGTTCTGGTAAATAGTCATAAAAGATGCTGTGCGGGTTACGAGTGGCCAAGCACAAACCTGCTGAGGAAACAGGAAATGACTGCGGCTGTGCAACAAATGCAGTTACTGAACTTTCCTATTATATAATAACATGCATTTGTACCTGACGGGGGGCTGCTGGAAATGTGGCTCTCACGCTTCCGAGCCTTGAACGTTGGGTCCAGTTCCTCTGCAATGTTGTGCATGTGTTGGTTTCGGCTGAAAAGAGATAACCGAGGTGCAAAGATACAGTAACTGCTGAAAGGCGTTCTTGAGAAGTGGCAGATTCTGTGAATGTGATAAAGAATGCGTGACTTACAGTGCAGTGCATGATGGGCTTGCTGGATGGTTTTCAATGGTGTAGTCTTCCTCTTCCACTGGCGAATGCAGTCCGTCTGAGTTCAGCCTCTCTCGCAGCATCTGAAGAGCCTGACATTAAAGACAACACGGTCTCAAATATGTCCATTTAAAACTAAATTAAAATGTAAAACAAATTACAAATGAAAGGTCTATCCACACCATGACTTAAAGGGGTCATGATGTTAGGGGTCATGTCAGTTTTGCTGAACTCTTTGAAACGCACCGTTGTAGTCTTGAGTTTTCTTCCGGGAACGAACACGTCACAATATTCCTCATTTAAATAATTCCCGCAAAGGCATATGCAAAATAAAGGGGCGGGGCCTGGTTGAGTTAGTTAGGCGGGGACATTTCCCGAACATGTTCAAAGCGATCGACCAATCACAACACACTGTTCCAGCCGACCAATCAGAGCACAGTGTGCTTTACAGAAGGAGGGGCTTCATAGAGACAGGAACTAAACAGAGCAGGCAACAATGGAGAGTATGGGAAAAGAACATTTTTTTAACATTCATACATGAAAATATTCTAGTAGACCCTAAAAAGGCCGTAATGGGTCCCCCATAAATATATATAGCGCACCACAAGCGAACGCATCATTTGTGTGCTTTAATGCCACAGATTTCTCTCCCCTTAAACACTATTTCAGTTTTTCTGCTTTAAAATTTCCCAATTATTTCAATGTGTTACTTGCAGTTTCTTTGTAACTGTTTGTGAAATTTACTAGCGAACAATATTTCTACACCATGTTTTTTTTTTTAAAGTGTATTGGAAGATTTGTGTGTTTGCATGCTTTACTTTTCCACAACTGTTGAATAAAATCAACAGAATAATCAGTTGTGTTTTGATTGAGCGGATGGGGTTGGTCCAGACCTTCCTGGTTGTGGTGTGTCCTCCTTCATGTGTTGGTTCTGCTGGTCTGGTCTGGATCTCTAGGTCTTGTGGCCTGTGGGTGACTCTTCTGTGACGGCGCTGCTGCATGTAGTGTGCGATCTCCTGATGAGCATTGATGCAGCAGTTAGACGCTTATATCATCACGGCTGATCTTTCTTTACACGTTTGACAATCATTTCATCTCCATTCCAGGAAAATATGGAGCTGTATATTAATATAAATCTTTTTATCCATCTCTACAGTGTAATCGTAGTCATCCTGAAGATTTTGTTACCTCATCTTGGGCCACTTGAGCCGCAATGAAGTCCACCTCTGATCCAGAGCTGCGGGGAAACTGATAAAGAAAAACACATAATAATACTACTTAGTTTTAGCAATTATTTATATACAATTATAATATTTGTTAATATTTTGAAGCTTTTATTTTTATATTTTTAGTTTTTATTTAAATATTTAGTAATTTTATGGTGTGCTTTTTTATAATTTTTTTTCAGAAATATATATTTTTTAAATTTTAGCAATTTTAGTACTTCAACTTATTTAATTTGAGTTTCACTTGAGTATTTAAAAGTGTTTTTTGTATTATTTATATACTATTATAGTATTTTTTGGATATTTTGAAGTAGCTTTTATTTTTATATTTTCAGTTTTCATTTTAAATTTTAGTTTAAGAGTCTGTTGTATGATTTTATTATTTTTTTTAGTTCTATTTAGCTTGAATTTTGTATTACTTCAATACTTGTATTACTTCAACTTACTTTATTTCTGTTAGAAATATATACATATTAAATTTTTCTCAAGGTCGAATTAATTTTAAAATGTCAATTTTTTTGGAATTAAATTTTTATTCAGACACTGTCAAATTAAAATACTGAGCAAACAAAACTTTGTGTTCCCTCATAAAAAATAAAATTAAATATTTTGCGAGGGAAATAATTAGTAATTTTGTGGTGTGCTTTTTTATAATTTTTTAGAAATATATATTTTTTTCATTTTAGCAATTTTAGTACTTCAACTTATTTAGTTTGAGTTTCACTTGAGTATTTAAAAGACATAAAACGAATACTATGTGTTTTTTGTGTTATTTATATACTATTATAGTATTGTTTGGATATTTTTTTGTAGTAGCTTTTATTTTTATATTTTCTGTTTTCATTTTTTAAATTTTAGTTTAAGTCTGTTGTATGATTTTATTATTTTTTTTAGTTCTATTTAGCTTGAATTTTGTATTACTTCAATAATTGTATTACTACAACTTACTTTATTTCTGTTATAAATATATATATATATATATTTAATTTTTGTCAAGGTCAAGTTAATTTTAAAATGTCAATTTTTTTGGAATTAAATTTTTATTCAGATTTATTCAGATTATTTTATGTCAAATTAAAATACGGAGCAAACAAAACTTTAAAAAAAAAATATATATATATATTTTGTGAGGGAACGCAATTATTGACATTATTTTTCCTCTCCATAAAGTCCATAAGAGCTGCATATGCACAAAAACAAAGTAACACTAGTCCCGACCCCTATGCAAAGCTGAGGTTATACATTAAAAGCTAACCCCAGTGTGGTTCGAAACCAGGCTCGGTTTGAGTAGCAGACCTCAAGTGTGTGTGTGTGTGTGTTTGTGTAAGCAAATAAAATGCGTGCAATGTAGCGTACATCTCTGCGAGGCATCATCTCCTCTTCCTCCTGAAGTCTACGGGCCAGCTCAGCGTCCTGAAGCACCTGCTCCCAGATCCCCAACCCTGACGGAGGGAGAACAGCTTTTGAGATCAAAGCCTGACGTACTTCTGCAGCATATCAGCACGTCTCTACAATACACGTTTACCTTCACATAGAGGAGAAACACAGTCATGTTCATGGTGACCAGAGTCCGCCCTCTGCCGTCTCATCTCCATCTCTTCTTCTTCCTGAAGCTGTTTAGCCATTTCCTGTTCAGAAAATAATTCACACACACAAATTCAATAATAAAAACGACTGATGAATCATGTGTTTTAATATAGTCCAGACCAGTCAAGTTGTATTGTGCATTATATAATACAGACAATTTCAAATCAGATTCACATTAATAAAACAGGAAGATGACGGTGTTAATGTTGTAAAATTCATCAATTATGTATCAAATTCAATTTGAGCTGTAAGGCAATGTTGATTCAATTCAGTTCAATAAAAGTGTTGATGTCACAGTCATTATTATAGTTTTGATCTCATCCGATGGTGTCAGTGCAGTTAATATTACTAGTCTTTCAAACTCTAGCTGAAAATAACAAAACACATGCCAAGTGTGTGACATATTCACGAGTGAAACAAACATATCAGAAGTAAACATGAGATTTGGATTCATCCATCGGGATTATTCACAATTTTTTTTTTCATTAGGTGTTCAAGCAAGTGTTGAAATCCTATTGTATTTGCTAGAAAGAAGAAAAAAAATCCCCTAAAACGCATCGTGCCGCCCAAACCGTAAGGGCTGGAGCTCTGAAACTTTGTCAGATGGCAGGGCCTCAAATTGAGGAGAACCGAGCCTGATTGGCCCATAGGTGGCGCTACAGCAACCAAAAGTACTAAATTGCTCATAACTCCTAACCCGTTTGACTTAGCATCAATGTTTTTACACCACTGTAATCCCTGGCTCAAGACGGACAAGATGTATATCTCGGATTTCCATTTGGAGCAAACAAAAAAAATTGTTATGTGGGTTTTTGTCCAAAACACACTTTTGCGAACTAGTCCCTGGTTTTTTGCCCAATCGGGACCAAACCAGTCTAGGCCTATTCTCTGGACTCTCTAGATAAATAATTATCGAAAAAAAGTTGAAATTTTGCATTTGGTTGGCTGTAACAGGGTCATTTAGATAGTGGTCTGTGGCAAAATTCAGTCAAAAGCCCCTAAATCCCCCCCCAAAAAAAGTCACAACTTCACAAAAATCGACGAGCATATGTGTCTTAACATGGTTAGGAAGCATGCAAAGTTTCGTGAGGATCGGATCATAGGTGGCGCTATAATCGTCAAAAAGGTCTCTCATTATTAGGTGTATGATCAGAGTATGAGCCCGATTGGAACCAAACCAGTCTAGGCCTATTTTTTGGACTCTTTAGATCAATACTTATTAAAAAAAAGTCGAAATTTTGCTTTTGATTGGCTATAACAGGGTCGTTTACAAAAGGGGTGGGACAAAATGCACCCAGAATCATATAAATCCTAAAGGAAAACTCAGAATTTCACAAAAATTGATGAGCATATGTCTCATAACATGCCGAAGAAGCATGCACAGTTTCATAGGTGGTACTATAACTGTTAAAAAGCTTTAAAACCATGTATTTCCAATGTTAAATTGCCTGTATTGATTGTAAATGGTGTTTTACATCGGTGGATAAATGCATGTTAAATAAAATTGAACGCCTTTCGATGCTTTTGTGCTTAAAGGCCTGCACTGCTTGAACACCGATAAATGCTGCTTGCAGCTTTAATTTTAATTGTTTTAGTAATATTGCTATGTTTTTGTCTTGTTTTAATATGATTATATTATATAAATATATATAATGTATATAAACAGACACTGTTCATTATTATTTAACATTGAATTTTGGCCTAACTTAAAGACCAGTAACGGCTTAACAACGGCCCAACTAAATATACATCTCTTATGCATCAGGGTGGAGAAGAGGTGGTATTCATAATAAGACGTCAAACAACACACACACACACACACACACACAGCAGAGGTGTCAGAGTAGGCCGTAAATGTTCCATCTTGCTTGTTCAGTGCGAAAAACCAGAGTGACACCCACCAGAGCACATGCAGACCAGGCCAGTGGAAAGTACAGCTCACACACACACACACACTATACGTGTGATGCCCACAGAGATGCTTCTCAGGACACACACCTCGCCTGAGCACTTCACTTCTGAGGCCTCATTCACACACACACACACGTCAAGGAAGAAAAGCTCCTAAAGCACACGAGCACTGACGCCTGTATTATGAAGATTGGAGAACAAAGATCTGACTTTGAGGATATCACTTGATCCTAACCAGTTTCCGGCAAAATACCACATTAACCACAGTCGGTGTAGCTACGATAATATCATAATGGGTTTAAACAGTTTTCTGAAATAGTTTGAAGTCAACATGAAATATAAACTGGAGGAAAATGAATGCTGCTTACCACGGTACATTTGTGTTTAGCATTATTACACAGGTCTGACAAGTAATGGGACATTGTTGTCCTGGTTTTGTGATCCTTTATGAATTAAATAGAGCAGGAAACCATTTTAATTGTATACACCCAACAGCTTAATCAACAGGAATGGGTGGCTAAATTAGGAAAAACAAACAGGAAGTGAGTTCACACATTAAAAATCCATTACTCAATTTAAATGTAAGGTACTTTTTAATTTGAAGTTCATCTTACGTAGACAAAAAGCACACACTATAAAGTATATACATCAGTTGTCCACTAGAGGACAGTAATGTCACCCTCATTTGGACATAAATAAGCAGATATGAGCGATCAGGACAGAATGACAACAGAACTATAAACTAAAAACTAGTAATTAAATTGAGTGATTTTTTAATTAAATGATGAAAGAATCATTTTTTTTTTTTTTTGGCTGCACTTCATTTGTTATCATTTGACTGATCGTCCTTATATTTAATCAACGGGATGTCTGGATGTTCCCTGAAGGGGGTTTTACTGCATTTCTTATAAACAGACAGAGAATTCCCCACGGGAACGTCAATATAATGACTACACAAATAAACACACAACATCAGAGGATGCAGTTGTGTGGGCTCATGGGTATTCCAGCACTTAAGACTGAGGGTTTACAAAACTGAAGAGTTCAAGTATGTGTAGTTAATTTACAGCAATCAACATGCCCTCAGCACCACGGTGAGGCATTTCTCATTGTGCGGCGCATGGTGGAAGAGTTTCCATTCTGATGCCCAGCCCCACTGGCCCACCAACCATTCAGGCCTCAACAACTCAAGTGGTACACACACACACACACACACACACACACACACACACACTAGTGTAGCAGATCTGACCCGCCAGGACCAAACATATCAACATTGTCATATTCAATATCCATTATCATGCCAAACACTTGAGTAGACATGACATACAATAAGTTATGATTATAACCTTGACTTTTGTCTGATTATTTCACTAGTCTTAAAGGAGTATTCACTTTAAAAAAAGCTTTTGCTGATAATTTACTCGCCCCCGTGTCATCCAAGATGTCCACGTTTTTCTTTCTTCGGTCGAAAAGAAATTAAGGTTTTTGACGAAAACATTCCAGGATTTTCTCCATATAATGGACTTCAATGGGAACCAAACGGTTCAAGGTCCAAAAGACACTTTTAGTGCAAACTGTTCAAAGGGCTTTAAACGATTCCAGACGATGAATAAGGGTCTTATCAAGCGTCACGCATCTTTTTCCGAGTCAATTCGTTCATTTCGTTCATTGAATGAACCAAACGACTCAGAAAAAGATTCGTTCATTTTGATGAACGAGTTCGAACAGGAGTCACAAACACGCATCACAGAACAGAGCAAGGCGAGCGTTTGAGCTTATAAAACTTAAACTTTGTTTTTTTTTAATGAGCGATCGTTTCGTTTAATTAAAATAAAAACAAGTAATGCATTGAATACTACGTTTATTGGGTTTAAACTTCAATACGTCCGTGAAAGAATGCATAGTAGGCTATACATTTTTTTAAACACGGAAATAGCGACAATTGAGCATATATTACTATATATTAGCTTAAATTACAACCTGTGGGGAGTTTTTGTAGATCCTTTTGTGAACTTTTTACACTTGTTGATGCACAGCGGGTCATCTTAACAGTGCCTTTGGAGCTACTATCTCGGTTTAACGGCCGTTGGAGCCCTCTGCTGGAAGGGAATCGTAAGATGGCCGCTCGAACACTTCCGGTGGCTTCACTGCCTAGTAGTGGCAGAGTACGTCACGAGATATCCAGTCATTAATATTTATATTGTATATTTTGAGATTGTCATACGTTCTTTCTTTGTTAGATTTCTTTGTTTATTGTAATAAGAAAAAGTTCAATAATAAAAAAACAGAGAAACGTGCGCACCGTCATCTTTACAATATTGTCTTTGAACTTCCGTTTTTGCGGTCGCTCTGTATATTTTTATTGTATCGCTGTCGAGGAGTAATTAGCTGGTCAAGTGGATTTACTTATTGTAGAGTTAACAAACGTTATCACGAGCATTGTAATGTTTATCATAAGCATTGTAAAGCAGATGTCTTAATTTTTTTACGAGCAGTTCATTCATACCGATTCATACCGATCGCTGAGAAAATACAGACCGGAAGTCAAAAGACGAGCCTGTTGCTGAAAAGGGGCGGGGCTACATAAGATCTATAGATCAGTGGCTATGAGCTTTATGACTTGTGAAGTGAGCATTGTTTTGAAATAGCTGGTATAGTGTTGTTGACATTGACAAGGGTCATTCAGATAAAGATGTCATTCGTCAGAAGAACAACAAGACACTGCCAAACTGCCAAGATACAGATGGATATATTTAGCCATTACTGGAAAACTGATTTTACACCCAGAATTAGAAAAGGCTCTGTACGTTCACACTGCTAGACTTTGTTCACAGGCTGGCAGAAATACAGAAATATAATTACCAGTACCAATCTCTTCTACTGCACTAAATTGCTCAGTTTGCAGTCTAATAATACTGTCGCCACGAGGCAGAAAGGACAGTCGACAAACGACTACAGCCCACCAATCAAAACACAAAAACATCACAATAAATTGCCATTTTCTGTTTATTATCACTCGCTAAAGCGCCAGAAAACTTAAAAAATAAAGAATCACATTGATAAAGCCTCACAAATAACTTGCAAGTATTGAGGCCCCAGTCATTAAGTAATAGCCTATTCTTTCATTTTTTACATTTTTTGCATTTCAAATAAGGCCTACTGATGTTTTAGTTATTGTATTTTCAATATTATAGGCTATTATTTGTGCATAAACATATCTGGTTATAGTAAACATACCGTTTTTCTATGTAAAACAACATATTTTGTCATCCTTGCTGCAAGCTTACAAGAGTGATAATATCATTAAATGTGAAATATTTTTTGGGGAAAAAGGGGGTCTCAGACCAAAAAAAGGTTGATCTAGGAGCTGATGGTTTTGTTCTCTTGAAAACAAAGGATGGAGTTCGCAAATGTTTAATGCCATAATCCAATTTTGATTAAGTTAAATTTGCTAAAACAAAGGTAAATAAGTCCAATTACTACAGACTATTACTTCTCGGGCTCCGAAAGCCTGTTTTAAATAGTCTTTCCACAAATACAGAAGCTCAGTGTTCACCCAGCGGGACGTGGCCTTCTTCAGATGAGCGGTCCACCTCCTCAGTCTCGTCGTCACCACAGACATCGCCATGGGAACACTTCCCAAAAGCACTCCTGACAACAATGATGACAAAGCTGCTCCTTTAGGAGACAGAAATGTCGCCCAACAGCCAAATAAAGCACATAAAAGAAGAATACTTGAAGCCAACGGACACGAGAGTGCAAGATCCGACTCGGGCATCAGTCTTCTCAGTCTTTATTGCTCTCTACAAAAGCATCTCTACACCACCACCACCACCACCTCACACAGGCGTTTTAATCAGCTTAACAAGAGTGGACAGATGATTAACAACAGAGCAGTGAACAAAACACTTCCCTTTGTATAGAAATGAATGGGAAAAATCAGTATTAGGGGTGTTACGATACACTCATGTCACGATTCGATACCATGATAAACTGAACTCATGATACGATATTACTGCGATATAGATTATCATAAAAGGTTAACAAAAAAGTACTGTTAGCTTTTTTTAACCCTCCTATTATCCTTGGGGTCATTCAATGTTTAACGTCTTTAAAAACATATTTATTTATTTTTTGCTTCAGATTTAATGACTTTTTCTAATTTAATGGGGACAACTCTGTAAACATAAAATTAACCTGCTAATATTTTTTCAAAGTCTCGTACAAATTACTGTCAAATTGACCCCAGAGGGTAAAAAGTGTTATCAGATTTGAGGGTGACAGGAGGGTTAAACATTTATTATTTGCTGTAACTTGGTCATAAATATATATGTCACTGTTTTACTTTTCAATGCAGCCGCTTTTAATAAGATGCTATCGAGCACATTTGTTTTCCCACCTTGTTTATAGCATTCAATAAAACTAACATAACTTCTCATTTTATTCACTTTTGTAGAGTTATAGGGTTAGTTCACCCAAAACATTTTTTTTTATTCCCAATATGTCAAAAGAAGATATTTTGAAGAATGCTGCCGGTAACCAGACAGTTGACGGTATCCATTAAAGGGATAGTCCACTTTTTTTGGGAAATAGGCTCATTTTACCACTCCCCCAGAGTTAAACAGTCGAGTTTTACCGTTTTCGAATCCATTTAGCTGATTTTCTGATATTTAGAAGAATATCAGTAACCAGACAGTTTCTGGTCTCATTGACTTCTATAGTATATTTTTTTCCTACCATGGAAGTCAATGAGACTAAAAACCGTCTGGTTAACTGATATTCTTCTAAATATCAGAAAATCGGCTGAATGGATTCGAAAACGGTAAAACTCGACTGTTTAACTCTGGGGGAGTTATAAAATGAGCCTATTTCCAAAAAAAAAAAAAAAGAGTGGAGTATCCCTTTAAAGCCTTGTTTTACAGACTCACCTCATCCTCTTGCTCTCGTCTCCTGGCCTCCTCAGCACACCTCTGGAGCTCTTCCTGAATCAGCCGTGCGTATCTGCGGTCCTCCTCCTCCCTGCAAAACACACACAACGCTTCAAGGATTCAATATGTGATATTTAATTACAACATATGCTTCTATTACTAATTAATCTAATTAATGCTGTTCTTTTGAACCTTCTATTCATCAAAGAATCCTGAAAATAAAGTATCACGATGTTCACAAAAATGTGAAGCGCAATTGTTTTAAACATTGATAATAATAAGAAATGTCCCTTGAGAAGTGAATCAGCGTATTATAATGATTCCTGAAGGATCATGTGACACTGAAGACGGGAGTAATGATGCTGAAAAACCAAGGGAATAAATGATCAAAATTATATTATTCAAATAGAAAACTGTCATTTTAAATTTGAATAACATCTCACAATTTTTACTGTATTTTTCATCAAATAAATGCAGGCAGTGGTGAGCATTAGAGAACTGTTTTGTACATACAAAACCCAAGACAAGTCCATGCACCAGAGTCATGTTACTCTCAAGCCAAACACCTCACAATATACAAACTACTCAAGTTATAGTCAAGCATCTGTTTTCCACACAGTCATTTGGATATCCTGTGGTTTAGTGATGGAGTAATTGGGGAAGTGTGTGACGAATCTTACAGATCCACTCGCTGCTCCTCTTCCTCCTGAAGTCTCTGGGCCAAACGAACATCGCTCTGCACCGCCTGGTTCTTCTGGATGTTGGTGCTGTAAAACTGCTCAACTGAGACCAAAAAGCAGAATCAGCCCTACTGTATTTTACCCAGTGAAATGAGGAAGGACGAGCACGATTACAGGAAGAAGATGCTTATACTCACTTTCCTGCTCTTGAAGACTGTGAGCCAGAGCGCCGTCCTCTAACACAGAGAAACACTGGCACACTGTGGGCGGGGGAAAGTACATTAACAGCTCATTAATCAGGCTTAATTAGAGGGATTCGACCACAGTAAAATTACTGTAATCTTTATAACACGGGACAAGAGCAATGTAACTGATTATTTGATTAATAATCAATATTCTCTCATCAAATAAAATAGTTCATTTGCTGAAATGTGTAGTCTAATTGGTGCAACATCAAATTTAAATAGTTATGTAACACATATTTCATGCAATTTACAGTTACATTTGTTTAGTAATTTAGAGTTTTTTTGAGCTAGAAATATCCAGTTTATAAACCTTTCATTCTAATATAGTTCACATGAGGAGTGAAGACACAAAATAAATATGAATACGTTTGGATGTTAAAATGCCTGTCATTCTTTTCAGCACAGAAATTAAATACCCGGTAACTTGAAATAACTGTATTTGAGAAAAGTCTGCAAACTAAAACGACCACCTGCTGGGAAAGCAGGGATTTTGGGGTTGATATAGTTGACTAAAACGAAAAATAATACAAATTGTTTTTGATAAATGAAATAATGCTGAAAAAAATTCAAAATGTATAAATATTAGATGAAGAACTTAACGAAAAAAACTTAAACAGTTAAGTTTTTGACAAATAACAATGAATTTAATAAAATTTAAGCACTAAAATTACTGTACTAAAACTGAAAAAAATATATAAATAAATAAATAAATAATGCTGAAAAAATACAAAATATATAAATATTAGATGAAGAACTTAACAAAAAAAACTTAAACATTGAAGTTTGACAAATAACAATGAATTTAATAAAATTTAAGCACTAAAATTACTGTACTAAAACTGAAAAAAATATATAAATAAATAAATAAATAAATAATGCTGAAAAAATACAAAATATATAAATATTAGATGAAGAACTTAACAAAAAAAAACTTAAACATTGAAGTTTTTGACAAATAACAATGAATTTAATAAAATTTAAGCACTAAAATTACTGTACTAAAACTGAAAAAAATATATAAATAAATAAATAATGCTGAAAAAATACAAAATATATAAATATTAGATGAAGAACTTAACAAAAAAAACTTAAACATTTAAGTTTGACAAATAACAATGAATTTAATAAAATTTAAGCACTAAAATTACTGTACTAAAACTGAAAAAAATATATAAATAAATAAATAAATAAATAATGCTGAAAAAATACAAAATATATAAATATTAGATGAAGAACTTAACAAAAAAACTTAAACATTGAAGTTTTTGACAAATAACAATGAATTTAATAAAATTTAAGCACTAAAATTACTGTACTAAAACTGAAAAAATATATAAATAAATAAATAATGCTGAAAAAATACAAAATATATAAATATTAGATGAAGAACTTAACAAAAAAAAACTTAAACATTGAAGTTTTTGACAAATAACAATGAATTTAATAAAATTTAACCACTAAAATTACTGTACTAAAACTGAAAAAAATATATAAATAAATAAATAATGCTGAAAAAATACAAAATATATAAATATTAGATGAAGAACTTAACCAAAAAAACTTAAACATTGAAGTTTTTGACAAATAACAATGAATTTAATAAAATTTAAGCACTAAAATTACTGTACTAAAACTGAAAAAAATATATAAATAAATAAATAATGCTGAAAAAATACAAAATATATAAATATTAGATGAAGAACTTAACGAAAAAAACTTAAACAGTTAAGTTTTTGACAAATAACAATGAATTTAATACAATTTAAGCACTAAAATTACTGTACTAAAACTGAAAAATATATATAAATAAATAAATAAATAATGCTGAAAAAATACAAAATATATAAATATTAGATGAAGAACTTAACAAAAAACTTAAACATTTAAGTTTTTGACAAATAACAATGAATTTAATAAAATTTAAGCACTAAAATTACTGTACTAAAACTGAAAAAAATATATAAATAAATAAAAGCCAATAGAAAGGCGATTTTCTTTTATATAAACGCTATAATACTATATAAATAATAGTAAAATAACTCTGATAATGGCAGTAGCAATGAATCAAATGATGAAGAAGAGGAATAAAGCTATCACTAATGGCAAGCCCAACATGTGGGATCAATTAAAACACTTTTGCCATTTTAATAAAGCTGATTCGGAGTCAGGATTGCAGTGATCCTGTAAAGTCTATCTTGGTAATAATCCTCCACATCTTAGCACTCAAAAACTCAGTTTTTGTGCTATAATTTAATTACTCAAAATTAATTTTTGAGTGGCATATTTGTGCAATTATTTAGCCGCTTGACAGTTTGTGCCAATAAACAACGTTATCAGTGCATGCAATTCATTCTCTAAGACAGGTTTATGTTTTGGCCCATGTCCCATAATGCCACACTGGGGCCCAAACAGGAAAAGTCCTGCCGAGCCGACTGGGTCAACAGCTTCAACACAATGCCTCAGAGGAAAAGCAAAGCACATTATGCCCAATAATAAGAGGTGTGTCAATGTGAACGACAAAAACCGCTCACTCAAATCCACTGAACGACTATTAAAGAAAAGCAACCCGAAGAAAGACGACCAAAACACACAAATAAAACCCTGCACATTAAACACATCAAATGACATCCCTCCTTCTCTCTCGCTCTCATGCTCTCTTGAAGTCAGCGTGCAAAAATCAGAGCGCTAATAAAAGCTCACGAGTCATAAAAGCTGACACTCAGGACTAATTACAGATCCATCAAGACATATTAACTGCTAACAAAGAAGTCTGTGACAAACTAACAGACATACTGTATGCATTATCCAATAAACAACTCAAAAGTACTCGTCTCAAGATAACTTTGCATTAGATTTACCGTTTCTAAAGATGTGCCTGCATCCATTGGTCCAACTCTGCACATACACACACGAGTGTGAGCTCATCCTACATCAGTCCGTCATGCTCAGATGGACTCAGATGAGGAAACCTCAGCTGGTCCTGTAGGATCCTCCACCCTGATCCGCATGGAAAAGCTGACACGGGCACTCTCAGGACAGAGGCTCGTTTCAGAAAGGTTGGCATAATCACAGTTAAACCATATGCCATGAAAGGGTTTTTGTGCATAGCAAGAGCCAATGTTGTGCAACTTAAAATTAGAAGCGATTTTAAACAAGAAATAGTGACGTGCAATTCCTGAAACCAGCTCTGATGCCTTTATAATAATAATATTATTCAATATTTGATTAATCACAGTTGAGTGTGAGGGAAAAAGTAGCAATAGTTATGAAAATTAAACTCAATGACTTAATCCTAAATTAACTCAATCTTTTTTAAAACAAAAAAAAGTGGTCTGAGGCTTATTTTTCCAAAGTTTGGGGTCTGTATTTTTTTGAATAGTCTCTTATGCTCACTACGGTTGCATTTATTTGATTTATTGATTTAAAAACAATAATATTATTGCAATTTTAAATATTTTCTATTTTACAAAATGTAATATATTCCAGTGATTTTTCAGCATCATTACTCCTGTCTTCAGTGTCACATGATCCTTCACAAATTATTCTAACAAGCTGATTTTAAATAAATAGCGGAGACCATATTATATTTTTGCAAGATTCTTTAATTAATAGGCATCAAAAGAACAGCATTATTTTAAAATTATTTTAAATCATCTGTAACATTAAACGTCTTTGCTGTCACTTTAGATAAATGCATCTTATACGTTTCTTTACTCAAATGGTAATGTGGTTTTATGGTCCGATTTTAAAGCTCATCAAGCCCTGCACATTATATTCTTATAACAATGTGAACAATATTCAAAACATCTGCTGTTGTTCTTCACAAAAGAAAGAAAGTCAAACGAGTAAATTATTAAAAGAGTACATTAATAATTCAGGATCACTTATGGGCCATCCAAAATCAATATTTGTCTGAGTAGGTCCTACTTTTGAATTTAAATTTTAAAAAGAGGGCGTTCTATATATATTTATATATATAGTATGAATAATATTCAGATACTACTCTGTTTTTTTGTAAACTATATAGTGTCTGATTTAATGTTGCACTTTTGCTTTAAATGCAAATATTTCTGATATATAGCGCCACCTGGAGGTGAAAAGCGAACAATGATAATTTTATTAGAATAAATGTTTAGGAGGTGTAAGAATAAATAATGTCAGTCCTTAAAGAGACAGAGGACGATGAAGGGTGGTGCGTGTGACCCCCACAGCTGAGCCGAGGCCCCCGGGACAAACAGATGGTGCTATTCAAGTCCCACAAACAAAGAAAACCGAGTAAAGACAGTAATCGGGACCCCTGCATGAAACTATCAAGCGTCTCTTACTGTTTGCTGCTCTCCTCTTCCAATCACTCACTTTCTCCTGCAGTTCTTTGTCTATATTTGGCACGAGGAGCAGAAGCAGAAGCTATAAATATCCGGCAGTGAAGTTACGGGAGGTTCACTCATGAACTCAAAGAAACAGGTCAGAAGCTCTGCTGCAAAACCCAGTTAGTTTCAGGCCCAGCGCATATAAGGCCTTAAAATGCATTGTGGGTAGGCATCTCACAGGGTAGGTGTTTATTTAGTGTCCCGTATCAGCTGCAGACCCGCAGCACACCAGTTTCAGAACCCCAACGCCAGAACCGGAAGTAAGGGGCGGAGTTACGCACTAACCAACACCAGCGCCAGGGCCGTAAGTAAGGGGCGGAGTTACGCACTAACCAACACCAGCGCCAGAACCGGAAGCAAGGGGCGGAGTTACGCACTAACCAACACCAGGGCCGTAAGTGAGGGGCGGAGCTTATGTTCGAAACCTAACCCCACCTAACGTAATTTACACATGAAACAGCTTTTATTAAACATGAAACCTCTATACATATGTATGTTATGATGCTACATTAAGCGTTTTAAGACATTGATTTTGTGTAATATATTTTCAGTTATCCGTTTCATTGTATTATGAGGCTACTTCATCATGATGGTGAAAAAATAATACTTGAAACTTATGGGCATTTTAATGTATAACAGTTTAATAATTTTAGCTAAGCAGTTTATACATAGGCTACGTAGGTAAGAGCTTTGTTTTTTGTTTTTTATGAAGGAGTTAACTTTGTTAAGCTTTGAAAGATATAAAACAAGACAAGCATTGGAGGTTTTCAAAATTCGATAACTCATTAGACCTCTGTGATATTTTATGTTCTATTTATTGTGTTTACAAAAATCTTAAACTGTTTTGAAATTGAAGATATGTATTTGTAGATTATTTTGATTGTTTAATAAAAAATAAAAAAAAACGCATGGGTATTTTTTTTAATGTAAAATATACTTCATTTCACAAGAACACGTGCAGCATGCATTTTTTTTTCCGTGTAAAATAATAATGTCAAAATCTAAGAAAATTCGGCATTGTTTTAAACAAAATAATAAAAATGTAGGCTATACAAAATGACCAATTCAATTCAATTCTAGGTCTGTTTTATCACAACAATCTTGTATAAATTTAACTTACAACGTATCAAATGAGGAACTCACTCTCAGGCCCATTTTGTCCTTACATTCTTGCTAAAATAACCTAAGCCCCGCCTCTCCGCTTCCGGTGTAGCAGTCGATTCTGTTCCCTACCGGAATTCATGTTCCCTTTACGCAATCATACTACAAATCATGCGTAGTTGCCGAGTTACCATACGTACCACCAGAACCGAATACGAGCAAGATGCACAACTGGATGTACGGGAAGCCAAAAGGTTAAAAAAAAGTATTGTATTTTTTTTCTACCCGAAACTTGTAGCCCTAATTGAGTTTTCCAATCTGTCAATTCAATCCAGATTATTTCTTTTCACATTTAAAACGTAGCTATTACTAATTTCGATTTCATGTTTTATAGACTGTAAAATACAGCACAGCACTACTTGAACCACAATCATTTCACAGTGGTTTTAATGTCTCATTTTATAAAATAAATAATGCTTGTTTTGAAAGACTGATTTCGTTATAATTGCAAGAAACACATTTATATTCCTTTTTTTTTTTTTGAGGAGATGTAGTAAAGTTGGCCATCCATTGAAATAGCTTTATTAGCTTTAGTAAAAATAAATCTAAACAACAATTTAGATGGCCCCTTTACAAAGGCCCAATGAAAGATAAGGCCAATTTAAACTGAAATTGCAGGATAGGTTATTATTATTATTATTATTATTATTATTATTATTTTGTAATTCAACTTTTTTTTGTTCAACAGTCAAAGCATCAGAGTACATCACATTATTCAGTAATCACCATGTTAGTTGCTGGCAAGTCAATTATAAGAAGGCTATAGCATGGACAAGTATGGGCTTTTTGTTTGTGTCAAGTCTTGTCTATACCTCGTTCTGTCTGTATAGTTACCTCTCCACTGTGTAGAATAATTATCATTTGGAATTAGGCTACTTGCCATCAATTTGGAAATTGGAGGAACGTCTGCGAATTACATATTTATGGTCTTTTTATGTCAAATGGGTATGTTTTGAAGTTGATTACCTCATACATTTTTGGATCCATTGTTGGAATGTGCCAGCAAGAATAAAAAATTCAGGAGACAATGTTGTGTGGTCATCTCCCCAATTTAGAACACCATTTATTAACATGGTTATTTTATTAATTTAATTAGTGCCCTCTGAAATTATTAATTATTATTAGAATGTTATGTTGCACCCATCTATATCTTGCATGTGAAAAAATAATAATTAAGGTAGTAATGGCAACATATGGTTTTATTCATATTTATGTAATTATTTTTATTTTCATACAGGGGACAAAAGGTGTCACCTGAAAATGTGTTTCTCTTGTGACAATAATGTGAAGAACTCTTTTTCTCATGTGTATTTTGGTGACATTGTACTTATTGTTAATATATTTTTATATTGTTTACAAAGTATGTCATAAAACTGTCATCTCTGACGTTTGCAATCTTTATAAATAATAATATGACAATAGGCATTGAGTTTGGATGTCAACATGGACACATAGCCTAAGGCAATTGGTATGGGCACAATTGAACTGAATTGCTATATTCAGACATAATACAAAAACTATGAACAAGTGCAAAATTAATTAAATTAATTCACGGAAATATCATTGGAATGCGAGAGCCATTTTATTATGCTGCAATAGCAAGACATTTAAATGTTGCGCCAATGCTTTTGGTCTTTTCGCTTTCCGTACGTCCAGCTAGGCTTCGTTGCAACTGCTACGCATGCGCTGTCAGGGGGAACAGGAATTCCAGTAGGGAACAGAATCGACTGCAACACCGGCTCATGGGACCTTATTTCGGAAAAAATATGAATGGTAGTCAATGGCGAGAGACAATCTTTTTATTCCGTCTGAACTGTGCCCTCAGTTACACATATGATGTTTGTCAATTTAAAAGATAATTCTGAAAGTCAAAAACGTCGCAGTTTGTCATAAAACAGAAGAGTAGCATTTAGTTTTATGTGAAAATCGCTCTATGAACTACATCTCCCAGAAGCGAAACAACGAGTGAGATCCGCTGCTCGTTTGGTACAAAACACTCAGGCGTGACGGCGTAACGTTACGATTATAACGTAAGACTGTAGAAACAATGACAGACGTTAGCCTCAGTAAAGTTAGCTTCATTCATTGAGAGAAAATGTGCGCCTTTGGGGTTTGTAGTCTTTGTAATTACGTATTTTCACAGTCTTATACCTCAACGGTTTTACATCAAACTGCGACTTTTGTTACTTTAAAATGTATCTTTTATATTGACAAACATCATATGTGTAATTCAGGGCACAATTCAAACCAGATCAAAATATCTGTTGTCTCTCACCTTTCAATATTTTTCCGAAATAAGGTCCCATGGTCGTCGACCGGAAGGGGCGGGACTTAGACTCTATATGCAATAATATTAACTCCGCCCCTCCCTCACTTGCGGGTTCTGAAATTTATCTCGTTTCATGCAAAAACAGTTCGTCTGCTTTCTAGGTGCAGAGGTTTATATGAACCTGTTGTAAACTCATCTAAACTGTAGGTCAGTGTTTGTGTGGAGTAAACCTAAATTCTCCTGCACTTGAACTCTTCACATCCAGCTTGAGGCCAAATCGGGAGAAGATTGGAATCTCGTCCCAAATCCTGTTTAAGAAACAGGAACGCTCGGAAGCTCTTGAGCTCATCCAGGCCAGATAAGAGGACGAGTGTGTGGACAGACTCTCTCACATCACATTCCTGAACGCTGATCTCATCTCCTACAACACACAACTGCAAACCTGCACAGGAACATCCGCATTCATCTACAGAAGCATTCAGACAGTTTGCCCTTCATTTTTCAATATGCTTTTCCTTTCACTAAACTGAAAGATCACATGCAAGTTTGCTGCATAAATAGTGCATCTTCTGTGTAATGTTGTCAATAATGATATTAAAAATAAAGTCTATAGGTGTGTAGTGTTTCTTTCTAAAGTAGTGTGTGTATGCATGTCTCCAAACATGCACAGGTCCAAAGGCACACATGCACATAAAGCTCCTGAAACCAACATGTTTCTCTTATTTTCAGTCTCTCTCATACACTTTTAATGGCCCATTGAAACACATTGGAACAAATTAGATGCCCACTCTCATCATATGCAAATAGGAATATAAAACCAGCCCTAATTGAAAGAAAACAAGATTGAATCCAATCTTGGGTGATAATATAGCATAACAAGTCATTTAGAAACTATTTTTCGTAAAAGTAGGAAAATTGTCAAAAAACATTTGAGAAGTAGTTACGGGATGGGCAACGATTAATCGCATCCAAAATAAATAAATAGTATATAAATACACACACATGCATGTATATATTTAAGAAATATTTGCATGTATATACTTTATATTTATATTTAATATATTTGATATATTAAGAACACATTTATCTTAAATATATACATGCATGTGTTAGTATTTATATATACAAAATAATTATACACACCACACACACATATATCATGTAAACACATACTTTTATTTTAGATGCGATTAATCGTGGCCCATCCCTACGCATTTGTCAACAAAGTTTCAGTCCAATAACATTAACTAGTATTTTCGGGAAAAAGAAAATCTTCTCCGGGTCAAAAACATTCTAGCTTAATTCATTCTTTTTTTTAAAACACATGAATACGGGCGACGGCGTATTGAACAAAATCGCATTTTTGTCAAAGACTTCGTCCGGATCGTATTCAGAATCAGAACGACTAGGCCGAGTCGATCGAGTCCATCAACACCCACGAAGCTTCACAGACCGATTCCTGAGTCGACATTTAATTCGGTAACGCTGCGCAGTTTTGATTTATATGCTGCGGTTTAATGTTTGATCACCGCATTAGATGCTTTTAATCACTTGCTTCTGCTTCTTTTTCAATTGTTTTTGGAGATTCTGTCCTCATCCAGATGTGCAAAACACGGACTGCGGGAAATGCCGAGTTAAAACCACCATTGCAACATGGAACCAATTTTTTAAAACACTTTTTATATGGTTCCCTTTTCAAATATAATTACACAGACACATTTAATAAAGATGCAAAACCGAAGAACCCATACCGTCATAAACAGCGGGCAGGTGAGATTTGTCGACGTGGGTTTCTGCCATCACTGATCCACACTGAGCTCACCGTCTCATGATGCTGGGAAGAAACCTGGAGCATCAAACAAACATTCACATTATCTTTACAATCATTTTGCAGGTTACTAGTACCATTGCAACAATTCCGTATAGCACTGGAAACATCTGTACGACTTCTATAACATGAAGCAGCCGTAATCTAATCTCCAGAAATCCTGGAACAATAACACACATTGTGTCACGGATAAAGATGTTGGCAAAGTTCTTATTTCCTCTGGAGTTTTTCCCCGTTCGTGAGCCATTAGTCTTATTTTGATAAGCTTAGTGAATTATTTTTTTATATTTCTAACAAGAAAGCACAGATATAATCCATTCAGATTTGTATTTGTATTTATTTATTTCTCCGGTCAGTCATTTAGAGATCATATGTCATAGATCATATGTAATGCAAAAAAAAAAAAAAAAAAATACATAAAAACAATGAAACAAAAAAGAAAAGGAAAAGATGATTGAAATACATCAGAAAAATAAAAACATTAGGATTTTTTTTTTTTTGATGCTAATAAATACCTGACTGAAGAGGTTTAGGCTGAAGTCAAGACTTATTTTGCCTAACCCCTTTTACAACGAAAACACTGTCCAAAGATGACACAATTATACGGTTTCTCTTATACCAAAAATACAAAAAAAAAAATAATAATAATATGTAGGCACAAAAAGTTAATCCTCAACAATCAAAATGATATCATACATCCACTTTCACTTACTTTTCTTATGTTCTTCACTCAGTTGTTGTATATTTTTCCATAATGTTTAACTTATATCTTTTCTTAAATCCATTAATAGTTCTAGAGCTCTTAGATCAGATCACCAGAATTATCATTAAATATAACGTTGAACTACATTAAGGTTTAGCCGTCAGGTTGGAATGACTTTTCAAGGAATATCATAATGCAAACTGCTGCCAACACTAAAATCAATGCAATACGCTATAATAAAAAAGCAACATGGAATATCTCTGTAATGACTTATACAGTGTGAAAGACATAATAAACAGTAAATATAACAGTAATATCTGAGAAATCTTAAAAGGATAGTTCACCCAAAAATGAAACATAGGCTATGTCGTAATTTACTCACCCTTGTTGTTCCAGACCTGTATGAGTTTCTTTCTTCTGTTGAACACAAAGGAAGATATTTTGAAGAATGTAAACAGTTGATGCTTTAGCCATTGACTTCCATAGTAGGAAAAGAAAAAGAAAGACTGTGGAAGTCAATGGCTAGCATCAAATTTCTGTTTACCAACATATATTTAGTGTTAACAGAAGAAAGAAACTCGTACATGAGGGTGAGTAACTTAAACTATCATGAATCCAGGGAAGCTGAACACATTCAGAAGTAAGTTTTACATCTCAGAACATTTATTGGTCCCAGTTCAATAATGTCGAACATAATTCTCATCACATTATTAATACACTGGGTCAAACATTCAGTGTTAGTGTTGATGTTTCTATAATCACTAACAGTAGCTAAACTTTATATATAAACAGTTATAACATGTTACATTTCTACTTTTGTTGAGCTGCACTTAAATGAGCTTCATAATATGCACTGTAAACAACATAAACACTAGAGTATGAATCATGTGCTTCAAAAATTATGAAAACGTTATTAAACAACAAACTCACCGTCTTCTGTCACTCCAGACACGCGCAGATCCGTGAAAGTCTTTATTTTAGACGTGACACACGATATTACACACACACTCATGTGCAGAATGCCTGCAGTGTGTCACAGGAGCACCTTCTCTCCTCTGTTCTTCATGTTTAGGCTGTTTTTCCTGACAGTTTGAGTTCAGCTCTACTTTTGTTCTCAGTCAAAACAAAGAGAAACATGTGGAGTTTCCCACGAGCCTCGCGCGCCCCCTGCTGCTCATTTAGAGGAGTTCCTCCTTGAAAAAAAAAGTATTTGGGACTTTTATTCAGCAAGGATACAGTAATGACTTTTACATGGTTACAAAACCTAAAAATACATTGTACACAAAAAACCTATAGTAATTATATTAGCTATAAAATTATTTTATTTTGAACTTTACAATCCTGAAAAAATGCATTATGGTTCTCACAAAAATATGAAGCAGCACAATTGTTTACAATATTGATGGCAATGAACTTATAACACAATATAATTGGCCTATAAAATTATTTGGCACATTTGTTTGTATTATAAATGCTCAAAACTAGCTACTTTCACAAAGTATGATAGTTTATGTGAGTTTACTGCTTTTATAAAGAGGTTATTATATAATAAAAATATTAAGAAAGTTATTTTATTCAGCAAATTCATGAAGTGACTAGGTGTAATCATAAGCTACACAGTAACTTATGAATAGCTATTTTACACGGATTTTTTTTTTTTTGTATAGCCCCGGATCTAAAAAAAAAAAAAAGATTGATAATTATTATTAAATTTTAATAATTTAGTATTATATTATATAATTATTTTATATAATTTAGTATTATATTATATATTAGTTCATTACTATAGAGAGTAGTTTTATCTTTTTAAAGTATACACTACGCAACTTTTGGCCCTCTAGCGGTTTAAAAACAAAGCTGCATGCATTTTTTTTTTTCGGTGCGGTCGGATGAATATGATTCTATCTCATAACTAAAATGAGAGAATATCCTTCTGCTCATGAAAAAACAATCACTTCAGATATTTGATATAACCAATTTAGAACCAATTTATAACCAATCTAAATTGGCTTCAGATATAACCAATTTAGACTAAAAGATCTCAATATACTGTAGGTTTACCCATTAATGGACATGATACTTCCCTGAAAATAAACTCCAGCACTGCAGATAATCTTCACAACATATATATGACCTCTGTTAGAGAGACACTTGGCCGTTCATCGGTTCAATAAAACACGAGTAATGACGAGTGAAATGACGAGCACACACGTGTGTAAGTGACGTATGTACGCAATTTCCCGCCAAAACCATCAGGTCAACAAACACGAGTCAGGGTTAAAAAAAAACAACCAAAAAAAAAACACACAAAAAAAAAAACACGTTTTGAAAGGATTAATAAAAACTATTTACATTTTCTTAATTTTAAACAAAAAGAGTTACATAGTATACTTTTAAATAATTTCCATTTATGTAATCTGCTTGTGGTTTTAATTATAAATCAACAGTGCAATTCTATCCTATTTCCTACCTGTTGAAAAAAATATAAATATTTTTATTTTGTAGTTCACATAAACATTGTTGTGGTGGAACAAATATCATCTCTCAGATGTTCAGAGAGAATTCAGAAATAACATTTTCATAACTTATCGGGAATGTTATGTTAGCAAAACATATTTTTGATAGCTGTTTCTTTTCTCATCAAATTCATTTATGAATTACATGAATCATGCACAGGATTATGCAAATATTTTAAATTCAAAACAAACTTTTACGTATACATTTAAAGGGATAGTTCACCTAAAAATGTCAATAAAACTACTCATTTCAAACCACGAAAGACTTACAAATTAAGCCTAAATTCAACCTGTTCATCATATAAATCTCTTCAAAAAATGTGGACTAAACCTCTTCATTCTTTACTCTTTATGAACCTTTTGAAGCAATAATAGAAAAATAATATATAATAACTTAATAAAAAAAATAAAAACAGTCCAGTTTATTCAAACATGTACACTGTCCTCAAGTGAATCTCATTATCAAACACAAACACAAACGCCACGTAAATGTACAGTGATTCACTTTAATCAAATTGAAAAATAAATTAAAGAAACAATAAGTGAAAAACAATGCAACATTCCAGAATCATGATGCTCAAGGCAGATGGCATGAATGAAGACAGTATAAAACTAAGTGTGTGTGTGTGTGTGTGTGTGTGTGTTTCTCTCCAACATGGACACGAAATCACGAAGCATTCCCGCAGATAAACACGAAAGCATCGTTTTCCTGCTTCAACAGAAGAGTTACACAACATGCCCTACACGTGACCAGCTTAAAATCCTAATCTGTACAGGAAACACATCTGGATGGAATGATCGAAGCCGAGGAAAGTTCATCTGTACAGCAGACACACAGATCATTCAGCGCTCTCAACGAGGTCCTCTTCCGGAGGCCGAACGCTTGAACACATACAGCGTGGGAATGACATGAGAAAGAGGAAACCTGGTGAAAGACCCCGCAAAACCCCCAGAATCCTCGGCCCGAGTGGGACTGAGTCGAGTACGTTCACGACGCATTGGTTTCTCCGAGCGTGACGCTAGCAAACGGCTAGTTCCTCTTCTTGACGTTGTTGTTGGATGACAGTCTCTGTCGCTGCGTCGGCATCAGGGCGCTCAGCGTCACTTTGCTCCTGGCAACTTCAAAAAGTTTGGAAAAGACCTAAAACGAGGGATGAGTGTTAGTACCGCACACACACACATGCACGCACACACACTCGTGTGATTTAAATCAAGAGGTCAGAGGCCACTAAAGGGCAGAGGTCACGTCTCACCTTCCTCGGCGTCCTCTGTGTGAGCGTGAATGAGAAGAGAGAGACGTTACACACACACACACACACACTCTGCTAACAGCTGCATGTTCATTTGAAAGCTAAAGTTAAGATGAAAATATGACATGAATTTAAGTAGAAAGTGAAACGTGCGGTTGGTTTTGAAGCTCTTCAGTGTAAATTAAAGAAATTAGAAATCAAATTTGAAAAAATATAAATATTTAATATAACAGAAAAACACTGAAAATTCTAAAAAAATATTTAGTGCTTGATGACCGCCTTAATAAATCATAAAAATCATGAAATCTGAAGGCAGAATTCATTTCAAATATACAACAGTAGAAAGTTCACTGGAGAAAAACAAAGTTAAATAAAATAATATAATAGAAACAATAACAAGGTGAAAATTTACAAATTGTTAGTGCTATTGACACCTGCCTTTTTACTATATATAAAACAAAATACTAAATTAATATAATGTACAACATAAATTAAAATATTTACAATATAACAGAACCAATTACAATATGAAGTTGACACCTGCTTTAAAAAGATTTTTCAAGAGAGTTCAAAATAAAATCTAAATTCTACGCACTTCTAAAATAACCTTAATCTGGCATGATCAAAAAAAAAAAAATGTAAAAATACAGAAAGCCAAGTCATAAAATATATGTCTTTAGTGCTCCTGTATAAATATATAAAATAATAATAATCTGATTATAATAATAATCTGATAACAAAAATCTGAAAATATAAAATAATTTAATAAAATATACAACAATAGAAAGTTTACCGGAGAAAAATATTCAAAATAAATTAAACAAGTTAAAATAAATAAATAGAATAATTAAATAAATAGATCAATCTATATATATATATTACTATAAAATAAATCAAATAAATTCAGATTAAATAATATATTAGAAACAATAACAAGGTGAAAATGTACAAATTGTTAGTGCTACTGACTTATCTTTACTTTTTACAATAAAATTATATAAAACAAAAAACTAAATAAATAATAATTAAAATAAATATAATATCATAAATCATAAAAAAACGTCATACATTTAAATGAATAAATTTGGATAAAAAATAATAATGGACGAGCGCTACAGGTGAGAGGGGAAAAGAGGAAACTACAGAATAAGAGTCTTATAAATGACGGTTGCAACACAGACAGAAGGAAAAGCACAGATCGGTGTGTGTATCAGAGGAGGAAGTGTGTGTGTTACGCACCTGTTCCCACAGGGTTTCCGCCACGCAGTCGATGAAGCCGCCCACCTCTCTGAACTCTCCTGAGTATTTGACGTACGCCCAGACGCACAGCGACACCAGCGCCACGCCCATCGCCACGTTACACACCACCGCCACAGAGTTTATACCCACAAAGCCCGTCACCACGGACACCACGTACATCACGAACATCACGGCGAAGAGCGTGGCGGGCGTGCGCGCCGCGAAGAAAATGTTCTTTCCGTCGTTGTGTTTGAGGAAGTTAGCGTAGGCGTCGTCGAGCTCCTGCTCCAGCTGGTCCTGATAGCGGCGGCAGAAGTCCTCGCCGCCCATCTTCTTCACCGCGCGGAACTGACACACACACGTCTGCTTCAGCTCCTGGTGCCGTCGCTCCAGATCAGCCGGAGCCAGGTACGGTTTGTCTCCGCCACACACCTGCACACAGGGGACACAGGAGTCATGAGAGTGTGTGTGTGTGCGAGAGAGAGAGAGAGAGATAGAGTGAGAGAGAGATAGAGAGAGAGTATGTTTGTCTCCGCCACACACCTGCACACAGGGACACAGTCATGAGAGTGTGTGTGTGCGAGAGAGAGAGAGAGAGATGAGTGAGAGAGAGATAGAGAGAGTATGTTTGTCTCCGTGCAGGACACAGGATTCTGAGTGTGTGAGTGTGTGAGAGAGAGAGAGATAGAGTGAGTGAGTGAGTGAGAGAGTGTGTGTGTGTGATGGGCAGGTTTGTATAAACACCATTGTGTGTGTGTGTGTGTGTGTGTGATACCTGCTCCATGGTCTTGTTATACGCGTCTTTCGCTCCTGCTACGGCTGCAAGGTTATTGGCTTCAGCGGTCGCCTGCGACACACACATGAGGATCACTCAACATATACACATAAAATATGAATAAGTAAAATAATATAACTAGAATAATAAATTCAAAATAAATAAATGCACAAAAATGTACAATTAATTGATCAAATATATAATATAACTGCTGTAGAAAGAATATATTATAATAAATAAAATAACTGGATAAACTATGGAACATAACAGAAATAACAACATGAAAATATAAGATGTTTAGTACTTTTGAGACCTGCCTTATAAAGTTTTCAGGAAATAAATTAAATAAAAATAGAATAATAATTTAAAATAAATGTAAAAATAAAATTAATAATAAAATAAATTATAAAAAAATACAAAAACATTTTTTTTCATTATATATATATATATATATGTGTGTGTGTGTGTGTGTGTGTGTGTGTGTGTGTGTGTGTGTGTGTGTGTGTGTGTGTGCGTATATATGTATACACCATTTTGCAAGATGTAAACAACACTGGTCCAGAAGCACTTCCTGTTTCAGTTTGTAACTGTTTTCTTTATTTCACATGTAAAGAAAACATCTTAAAGATATTTGTTTAACTTTTTGATTCAGTTTTATAAGTTCTGTTGGTTGTATTTTATCACAGTTTTTATGTAGTGTTAAAAAACTGAAAAAACTTTGTTTACATCTTGCAAAATGGTCTATATATATATATATGCAATTGACTAAATCATGACTGTGCCATAGCAGTATGAGTGTGTGTGTGTGTGTGTGTGTGTGTGTGCACCTGTAACATGGACTTGGGGTGCGGCAGCTCTTCGCCCTGATAGATCTTCATGTAGGCCTGAGACAGAAACACACGGTCAGTCCAGCACACACCAGATACCCGTCCCACCAAAGCAGCCTGAGAGCCGGTTCGGTGCCGGTGTCCACTCGCGAACCAGTTATGTGCGTTTCGACAGCCAAAGAACCGGTTCTCGGACAGGAAAATTGGTTCCAAAGCGAGACCAACTCTTTGCACGACTAGAACCGTTCTTTTAGCATGTCATGCTAACGTCAGGAAAGCTAAGACGTATGACAACGTCGTTCGCTGGGCTCTCTAGTCAGTGGAAAAACAAACCGGTTCTGAGAAGGTTCGCTAGTTGAACCGGGACCAGTTCCAAACCAGTTCTTTATTGGTGGAAACGAGGTATGAGTGACGGAGACCGGCTGGGAAACACTCTTACTCTGAAGTACTGGAGCAGATCTCGACACGTGACTTTAGAGCCGCTGATCTCCTTCTCCATCAGGTTCTCTGGAGCCAACAGCAGCGGGACCAGATTCACCAGCTCTCGCTTGAACTCGTCGTCGATGTCTACACACACACACACACACACACACACACACACAAAGCTCATTTATTGAACAGTTTTGTGGTATGGACTAATATTACTAAAAGTTGAAGCGCGGCGGGTTTCGGCACAGAGTCTATTTTTGCTGCACTGCTCACGCTCAATTAAAGTGAAAGCACACTTTTGATGGACAAAATTAATATGATTTTACACAGAAGTGCCCAAAATGCACAGGATTTGCATGTCTGCTGTGTTTTAACAAGAACTTAATCATATGTCAGAAAAGAAAATGTTTTTTTTTCTTCATTGTTTTTGTTGGATATTGGATGTGAAAAGAAGGAAATGGTTCTTCCGTAACACTGCACTTTACATGTGTGTGAATTTCTAGAGTTATCAGGAGTTCTTATTTTATAGAGATTACCGCTCAAAAACGTTCTATGCAAAATGTAAAATGTTTTACTAAAGAAAAGAGAGAAAATAAATACTTGTGTGCTGTAAAGTGTTCAGAAAGAATGAAATCGGTATCGGCAGTCAAACTGAAAAATTGCAATCGGCCTAAAACATTGTAATCGCTGCATCTCTAATAGATAATAGCTTTAGCATCGCAGCCCTTTGAATTCAATCAGGAGCCTCGAGATTCATTTCCCACCCCTAAATGTTCAACCAAACCTCTTCTGGTCAACAGGTCAGAGGTCAGCCCTAAATGGCTCTTAACCCTCAGGTGCTCTTCGTTTCGGAGTCACACTTGTTATCTTCCTGGACACCTAAAAATTAAATTTCGTCCATCCCAGTAAAACCAATGCAATTTATTTTTGTTATATAATATTTATTCTTTGTAATTTAGTCTTTTGAGACAATTTGATTGAATTTATTAATATTTATGCAATATTTATGGTCTATTTCTGCCATGGAAAAATAAATATATTTTTTCTATATATATATATATATATATATATATATTATTTTTTCCAAAAAATTATTAATGCAGCTTTTTAGTTTAATATAGAGTCTAGGCCTTCAAAAAAATATATTTTTGAAGAAATTAGCACCATCTGGTTACAGTATAGAAAAAAGTGTAGAATCATGGTGTAACCACTAGATGGCATGTGCATCTCTATGGAGAAGCATGTGAATTCCCCAGCTGTTTATGAACACATTTTTTTTTTTGGTGGATTTGAATATATAGTTGAAACAATCTCAAAAACTATTTTTTATTTAAAAAAATGTAAAAAAAAAAATAAATAAATAAATTAAAATTTGTGATGTTTTTGTGTTTTTGTCAATTTCCCATTCATTTCCTATGGGGGTCATTTTTGACCAAAAACCACAAGTGTGACTATTTTTTAAGACCACTTAGCATGCTCAGATCATAACCTCAATTTTTTTTGTGTGTTCAACATACATACAAAAGTCACTAAGTTTCATAACATCCGATGAAGCTGTAATTTTCAGAAATTCAAAACAGAAAATTTTCGGTCAGAAATGACCGAAGAGCACCTGAGGGTTAATGTTGTTTTGGAGTCTCGTACAACAGGTTTACAAGCATCAAAGGTAAAAAAACTAATTGTGCGAGTGTTTCTCTCACATTTGTTGACTAAAATGAGATTGTGTGCGACCTGTAAGATCTATTTAGGAGCGAGTGTCTCTCACCTCGTAGCCGGCCGTCGAAGTGTGGGTTTGTGGCCACTTTGAGTCCGGGTGTGGCAGAAGAAAAGCAGCTGATGTTGGAGAAGCACGAGTGGATGTGTTTCCTCACGTTCTGCAGCTCCTCGTGTTGATTCGGTTTCACCTGAGAATCACAGCGTAATTCAAGCACACGTGATCTCAAGAGTTCTCAAGCTTTCTGCCGCTAGAGCTGCAGTAATGAGTTAGGGCTGTCACTTTTGTGAAAAATCCTGTTTGATTTGAGACATTAGTGTTCATTGAACTCGATTTTGCATGTCTGAAGACGTTTCTATTTTCAACGTCAAATACAGGCAAATCCACGGACAACTAAAGGCATTAGGACGAGCATAAAGAGGGAACTTGAGACGCACAAGTAGGGATGGGTATCGTTAAGGTTTTATCGGTATTACTACTCTTACCGATACCGCTTATCGATCCGGTACTTTAACGGTATTCTTATCGGTTCTTTTTGGTGTTTTTTTTTTTTTTTTTTTTTAAGAATTAAGAACATAATTAAACTTTATATTTTGAAATGTAAAATAGAAAAAGCAAAACGAAGAAAAATATATTTTTGTTATGCAGCAGTGTGCAGGCTTTTTTGTTTATACAAAAAGGATGCATAAGAAAAAACAAGTACAAACACAAGAATACAATTAATCAAAGATACAAATTATATACAAAGTGCTTTAATTTCAGGAAGGTGTACTAACATCTTTTCAGGTAATTGTTTCTATCTGAAAAGAAACCTAATCAAATATAAAATAGCACTGTATAGTTTATCATAGATAGAATAATGCTTATTAAATCTAAAGTTACTCATTCAAAAAGCTGTGAGGGATTTTCTCTGGCTTTGGTTGTTTGATTTGCATTAATGGCTGAATCGTCAGCAGGTTTAGGTTATTAGACTGCTGCCCCTTTAAGACCGATTGCAGATCTAATGGGGACTGATGCACCATCATTTTCTCCTATTATTTACGTCCATTTAAGACATAATTGTGTTTAAGTGAATCTCAGAGCTGGTCATTTTGACATTTTTATGTATATTTTGATAGTTAAGGACGCACGAGCCCAAGTATAGGCAGTCCCTTTCGGAGCGTGCACCGCCTTGTGAACAGCGTCTCTTGCGCAGGTTTTTGTGTTTTTAATAGCCATTTTTTATCTTGCAACAGTAGAAGACAGCATTTTGCAACAATCGCTGATCGTGCTGATTCTGACGGTTACGTTTGGGTTTTAGGAAGAAGAAGAACTGACAGCGCTCCGCAGTGCCGTGAAGTAAAGGAAGTTAAGCTGGACAGATCGTCTCGTTTTTTTTAACGGTTTTATCTCAAATATCTTCTTTTTATAATCTTTGGAAGCCAAAATACAAAATATATTAGAATAATATCCCAGATCTAAAGTGTAACCACGTTGAATGTTAGTTCTGTCCTCATTGTCACTCATTAAGCAGGGCTGTCGTGTTGTGCGTGCTGTGGCTTTGCGTGAGAGATCGCTCTCTCTCTTCTCTCTCTCTCTTCTGAACTGCGAATTGCAAATTTGCATCACAGACATATGGTTTAATTAAAATATAGCTTATATATAGAAATGGCTGACGAAACATGTTCAAGATAACTTCTTTATAGGAATAATATAAATAGTAGCCCAACTTATGTGTATTTACTTAATTTCTCCAGTACCGACAGCAGAACCGATAACGTCCGAGCTTATCGATACAGCGGTCTTTCAAAAATTCAGTACCGGGGCCCGTTTAATACCGGGTTTCGATACCCATCCTAACGCACAAGTCAGCAAAATTACTGATGATTTACTGGCGTGAAGTTTCGTCACAATGACAAACAGGAGAGCAACATTCAACGTGAAGACAAATCTGTGCGGATTTATTTCCTGTATTGATCTGTCCACCTAACACACATTTTTGGTATAAAAAAAAATCGTTTTCAATACTTGTGTCGGTCCGATCGATTTCTGAACGTAAAGTGACAGTCCTAGCTATGAATAAGCTGAATGTTTTATTGGTGACACTTTACAATAAGGTTCATTAGTTAACACTACTTAATGCATTAACCAACCATGAGCAATACGTATGTTACTGTATTTGTTAACGTTAGTAAAAAAATCCAGCCGTTCACTGTTTGTTCACATAGTGCATTAACTAATGTTAACAAGATTTTAATAAATGATAAATAAATAATAAATGCTGTATA